ACTTCAAGATAATGAAACTGAAGACGTGACTGCGAAAATTGTAAAAATAGCGCGGTCAAACGCGATTCGTGCGCTCCAAGTTGTGTTCGGCGTAGAACTGTACAAGCTGCCCAACGCAGAGCCCCAGATTCCTCACGAACTTCCCCATATCTCGCATAACATGCTCATTTTTGTTGTGCGCCTCCATCCCAAGCACGTAGAAAAAGTCATCTCGATTGGGCGAAAATTTGCACATAATCTACAAATTAATTATTCAAATAAATAAGTTTTAATCATAAATTTGTGAGTTTACGTTAAATAATTGCGTCCCCATCCAACCATGATATGGTTCCAGTGTCTCCAAATAAGCCACCTTCAGGAAATTTGACAGATTGGTTTTACCTTCGACATCTGACAAAACACATTCCAGGAATCTCTGCATAAAATGCAATCCTCTAACACATTAAATTAATCAATCATAAGTTATTATTAAGATAAGAGTAAAAAGAACCTTCTCAACCACTGCAAAGCATCCGTTACCAAATTTTCCCCCTCATTCTTTTCACTGAGTATCATATCTTCTAAATAAAAGTATTTGCTCCGATCCTTCTCGAATTTCGCGTTCAATTTCTGTAAGAAAATTAAATAATTGACAAATATTTTAGGTGTGCTTGTTGTATATTTACCACTATGTTGCCATTCATATCGTATCTCACAGCTGCAAAGACTTTGCCCATTTTATCTGCAGTCAAATGGAAAACGAGATAAAAATTAAATAAAGCAGGCGATTGTTTTGAACAAGCGAAGACGAACCGACTAAGGCAACAACTCCTCGAGCTGCGTCCAGGAACTCTTCGGTGGCAATCCTTCCGTGCTCGCAGTAAGGGAAAGGCGGCATCGTCGTACTGAACACCGTGCTAACATCTTCGACGGGTAAACCGTTGCAATCGCCGTTCGTTACGGACATTTCGCAGACGCAACAACCCACCACGAACAGCACCTCACAAATGTCAGAGAAGGGGAAAAACAATAAATAAGTTGTCAAGATTACGTTATTTGGGTTGCATATATGAACCGTCGTCTTTTATTACTGCGTCTATATCGCTGCTTAGTTTCTTTTTAAATAAATAGTTGAAAACTTAATAAATCTATCCCATGAGCTGCTCCCGGATGGCCCATCTTAAATCTGAATGACTTGACTCGCCAGGTATCTTCAATTTCTTCCATTCAGTCTGATACTTCTGATACAAAGCCACTGGATCATTTTTGTGTACTTTTGTTACCAATTTAGGCCTAATAACTAAAAATAATTGATTTTATTAAAATAACATTGAACAAATTTAATATTTTACTTACATGATGATTTTGGTCTTAAAGAGCTGCTGGTTGTAGGCCTCTTTGGGCTCAGTGGTTTCTCACAAGGGAATGTAACTGCTTCAGTGGTGAAAGTTCTCACTGTGCTGGGAACTGCCACTGATGAAAGGGAAGATGAGACTTGTACTGAAGCGTTTTCCATTCCAGGCATTGGGTTCCTTTTAATTTCTAGTGAAATAGTCTTTTTAGGTGCTACAATTCTCGCTTTTGAAGCAACCGTGTCCGTTCTATATAGATCCTCGAACACATTTCGTTGCGGAGGTGCAATCCTCAACCTCAAATTCTCTAAAATTTCGCTATCCTCTGACGGACACGAGCTCTCTGTTCGATTGTGACTATAACCCGGACTCACGTTCTCACTATCGCCATCATAATCTTCGTAACTATCTGAGTTGCATGTCCTATCATCAGTCTTTCTTCTATCATACTTCATTACTTTCTTTAAATCTACAATAAAAAAATATAAAGTTGGCTGTTGCAAAGAAAGAAAGAAAAACACAACAAATTTTGTTTCTTCATAGATAAAATAATAATTGTTTTGCAAAACTAATAACAACAGTATTACCTTGCATAAATAATTTTAAATCCTGAGCGCTAATCCCTGTGTATCCGAGTTGATTGAGGAACTTAAGCACCTCTCGCTTATCCATGTTTCTTCAACTACAATAACAAAAACAATAAAATCTTCTGTCCTGATGGTGAGGTTAAACGTAAACCGCCAGCAGCTGCCAAAAATTCAAAATTTTCAAGAGTAGTTCTAATGAACCAACGCAACCCATTGCACATAGTTGCAATGACTTACGTATTTGTTTCTTTTTAGGAGAACTTTATTATTATTACAAAATATACATGCAAAACGAGTATTTTTTAAATGTGTTACGTTTTAGCTAATTAAATTATGTAGGAAAGGGTAATTTATAAATTTTAAATAATGCATTTCTACATAAAATATAAATATTACTGAAAAAATAGGGTTCCAAGAAAATTGATCGCAATAAATTTGTTCGAATGGAAATAGTTTTTAAGATTATAGTAGTTCAGTTATTACATATAAATATTATTATTTTATTAATATATAAATATTATATTGTTTAAAATACAAAATATGAAAATACCCATATCACCAAATTGTTTGTATGTATTTTTAAAATACAAACCCTACCCAGCTGTTCGTGAACCTAAGGCAATAGCGACCTCGTTTAACGAATACCTCTCATTACTGACTTAACGAGTGATGTTTCGCATAACATGTAACAAGGAGCATCGCGTATTGCAAAGGAGGTTTTTGGTGACCATAGTGTCAGATTAACAAACATTAAGTAACAATATATCAAGCCAGACATCACAAAACGGCTAATATTATGAATTATATAATTTCATAGATTATTGAATTATTAGCAAATATTTGCATCAGTTATAAATAGAAAAAATTTCAAGATTTTATTTCCTTAATCTCAAGATTAGTTTATATCCCACTCCTCTCATTTATGGTCTTGATGCCAATAAGCGCTCAAGTGTAACTTTTATATTTGTATCCTATGTATGTGTCAGAAATAAGAAAATAAATGATTTCGATTTTTCTTTTATTTCTGCAAATCGAATTCACATTCGAGATAGGTTCATTTTACGATGGAAAAAAAAGGTATTTGAAGTTCTCGCTATATTTGAATTCAGGCGCTAAAGTTAGTTAAATATGAGTGGTGAAATTTTCATAATCTGAAATTGGCCGAGCTCGTCAACCCAAGCATGGAGTTCGATAGAAGAGCGGCTATTATAGAAAGCCTTCGTGCCGGAATAACGCCCGGGTATCCAAGATCGACTGTATATGACATTGTGAAGAGATACAGGAGTACGATGATGGCTCTACCACTTCGGCGAGGAAAACACATGCAAGGACTCCAGAGATCATTCGAAGAGTCCAAGACATGATTTTGGAAAACCCGGGGATCTCGCTACGGAAATTGGCCTCCGTCGCATCGTTCAAGAAGATCTCAGATGTACCACCTACGTCTTCAAGATCAGCTAAATGCTCTCCGAGGCCGCCAAGCTCAAAAGAATTAGCTGCTGCAAGTTGCTTCTTTGCTCATTATAACATGAAGCTGCTTAAGGTCGCATTAAGTTTTTCTCTGATGAAAAAATGTTCATCCTGGATGCCAAAGTGAACAGGAGGAACGACCGGTGGCTCGCCAACAACCCCAAGGACACCCTTGAGGTGTCCTAATAGTCCCGACATAAACCCTCTGGACTACTACGCGTGGAGACAAACCAACAAGTCTAGGCACCATAACTTCAATACCCTCCGGGCCGCTATGGAGGTAGAGTCAGAGCCTTGATCCGTTGAAAATAGCGTGCTCGCGCTTTTGTGCGAGGATCGAGCAGGTGATAGAGGCGCAAGGTGGCTATATAGAATGAAAGTTCTCAGCAAGGATCCTTTATATGAAATATAAATGCAATTTTTGGTATCATTGTAAATAAACTTTTTTTTTGTTCGGATTCTAACGGCGCACCCTGAATATATAATTTTCTTTGAATAAACTTTATACATATTTTTCTAGTTTTTTTCAGCATCTGTTTAGTTATAACTTCTCTCTTTACGTATCTAGGTCATAAAGCGAGGTATATATGTAGCTAATTGGATTATAGATGCAACCAGTTTCGCGTACAAATATTAACTATAATTTCTACTAGGATTTGGGTTTTCAATAAATATGATTATTGTTGTTGGGGAAAATTAGTTTTTCTTGTAACAAAAGCAATTACAAACAGATTACTTTATTAAATAATTACAAAATAGCTTATAAAAATTGTTTGTTTTGTTTTTTTCTTGTTTGTTTATTAAATCTCCTATCCTCCTTCTCCTCATAATCATATGCATCAACATTATTCCATCAATTATCTATTCAATATTATTCATTTGTTTTGTAGCACCCGCCATCTAATAAATACAACATAAATATATATATTTACATAAAGTTAAATACATAAATATATATATATGATCTACGCTATTGGCTTTGAAATTAATTGACACGAAAAAATATGAAAGAAATCAAAACCTACTTCTACATACATCAAGGATGAGAATGAGAGAGAGAGAGGTGATTGCACATCATTTTCTTTTAGTAGAAACAAAACCACACAACTTTTGATCTAACAATAACACATCCATTTCCAATCCTAAGCAATTTAGATTTTGAAATTAATAAAATCCAATCAAAAAGAAAACAAAATTTAAAAAAATAATAATAATTGATTTAAAAAATATATATGATATATAATATAAAACTATAAACTCGTTTAGAGTAAAAAGAACCTAAATCTAGAAGAAACAAAACTAATAATTTGATGCTTTCGCTAAAAGTAATTGAAATAATATAAAAGAAAATACAATCATCACTGAAAAAAGTATTTGATTGATATATAATAAAAAAAAAAAAGCAAAACAAAATCTCTCTCAATTCAATTAATTTAGACACACTTGAAAATTGAAAGAAAAAAAACTTAAATACAAACTATATTATAAAACATTTATGTATATATTATATAAAGAAAACTTTTCGTTTTGCAAAACATATTTCTGAACACATCATCATTAGTATTAGCTCTCAACTCGATACAAATGTCTTATGACTTATGTACACTTGGTAAATGTTGTTGCTGTTGCAAAAGAAGTAAACGCGCGGAAAAAGAAAGATAGAGAGAGAAAAATTACAAACGTATTGCTTTCATTTCCTTCAACCGAAAACATACAACTAAAAATTAATAAACACGTAATAAACTTGGAAGAACTTCTAAAAACCACACGATTATTATTTAATATACGTAATATTTTCTTTTTCATCATACTTTTGTTATTTTTCTTGTTTCATTGTTATTTTTTAGTAATAATAATAATAATCATAATAATTCACTGAGGCGAGGCATTTAAAAAATTTTCTTATAGTAAATATATATTTCTCGTTTATATTATTCATTTAATTATTAATTAATTTGTTGTTTCGCTAGTTCCTTTAAATTTCTTTTTGCTTTTTCACTCTTACATAAGCATTTTTTCTCATCATACACATCTCATTTTAGCACCTTTTCGATTTTCTTTCCTATTACAACTCATTCCATCGAATATAGTAAAACATCGATAAACAAGAAACAAAAGTTAAATCTCTTCTTCGCATCTACTTTTAGGCACACGAAATCAGCTGATTCGGCACGTGGCGAAACCGAAGGGAAATTATCCGAACGCGATTAACAACACGCAATTTCGGGGTCAGTTGTTAACCGCGACCAAACGTAATCATTATAATAATAATAAAAGAATCAAACATAAAAAATAAACGAAGAAAGATAAAAACCCGCAATATTCCATTTGCTTTTCGCACGCAAAAACTAAAAAAAAAATTGACGTTCAGAACAAACGATGATCAATTAGTTATTTAATTATTGGTAACGTTATTATTATTAATTATTCTCTTTTCACTAAATTAATTAATGGACTAAAATATAGTAATTATTAAATCGAAAATCATAATCACGTAAGAACTTACATCAATTTTTTTTTCTGGTTTTTGTTTTATATATAGAATATATATATATAGATTTGTATAATATAGTTAATGTTATTTTCTTCGCGTCATCGGAGTCTATGTACGAGAAGCGGGTGGCTTCTTATAAACGTGCGTTCGCACTTATTATTTTCTTAACCCTATTTTTTTTTCATTGTTTTAATATATATTTGTAATAATAATAGTATTTAAATTATTAATTTCTCTTAAATTATGATTTAAAATATAATAAAAATTAACTATTACTGAGGTAGACCGCTTACATCCATCATTTCCTCATTGGCATCGTCCTCGATGTGCTGGTGTTGATGTTGCGCCTGGTCGTGCATCGTGAACCGCCCAAACTGTGGACCCGAAGGACCGGCTCCGCCCGCAAAGTCGACCCCGCTCACGGTGGGAGGGTTCTGTTGCGTCGGCATGTGCGAGAATTGATTGTGGATGACGTTGGTGTGTTGCGAATGATGCGGATGGTTGTTGATTTCGGCCGAGTTTTGGTTGGGCAGGTTAAGACCGAAATGGTGACGTAGCGGGGTGTTCTTACGCGGTGACCTTGCCCTCGGAACTTGCGGACGATACATGCTCTCCAGTACGGAGGGAGCAATGTATGTGAATCCCTATATATTGTATAATGCTTGTTGCAGTGCGAGTCTCATAGTAACAATACAAATCATCACTTACCTGAAATATCATGTTGACGCTTTCGCTGAGTGTGGATTCAACCGGCGAATCGACGGGCGTCTGTCTCGTGAATTTAGTATCGAACTGCGAGACGTCGTCATCGCTTTGCAGGCACGGCTTGAACGGTGGATCGAGTTTCCTCTTCAACACGTCATCCCAGTTGATGTGCTTGAAGTATTGGTGCTGCTTAACAGCGTGGGCGTCATGCGGAGACGTGCCTAGCCTCGCGGCAACTTGTCTCTTCAGCAACTTGCGAATCAAATCACGAGCATCGGAAGTCAAGTAGGGTGGCAGATAGAGCTTACCTTTGAGGATGCGCTCAATAGTTTTCTTTCGGTTTTCCGCAGTGAACGGAGGCTGCACAGGTCGAAAAGCATTAGAATCACAACGACAAACAAAACATTTTCATTTACTAACCGCCCCAGTAAGCATATCATACATGAGGGCGCCCAATGACCACCAATCCACCTCTTTACCATGTCCACTGCGCGTCAAAATCTCCGGCGCCCTACAAGCAATAAAATCAGTTCACAAATACTAAGTACAATTAAATATTGTAAACTCACATGTATTCAATGGTGCCGCAAAAGGTGTGGGTGACGATGCCCTCCTGGATGTGCTCTTTGCACAGTCCAAAATCAGTCAATTTCACATGGCCCTGGGCATCGAGCAATATGTTTTCAGGCTTTAAATCTCTATATATAATCCCTTGTAAATGTAAATGTTCTAAAGCTAAGATAATTTCCGACAGGTAGAAACTGAAATAAGCACAGCAAATAATTTAAATGAAACTTGAAGCATAGGAAGGCAAGCAACGAACCAAGCAGTGTCCTCCAGGAAAATACCCTCACGTTCCAAATGCATAAACAACTCTCCACCACTTAGGTATTCCAGAATCAGGTACAACTTCCCACCTGTCTGGAAGGCGTATATTAAATCTACTATGAACGGATGCTGAAACGATACATTTAATGATTTTTTTTTATTATCTCTTAATTGGGCAAATGTTACCTTGACCTCCTCTAGGATATTCCGCTCTGCTTTGGTGTGCGCTGTATCTTTCTGGTTCCTCACAATCGAGGCCTTCCTCAGCACTTTCATCGCAAATATCTTGTTCGAATCTTTTCCAGAAGTCTTGCACACCTGAAAAACTTTACCATAACCGCCCTTACCGAGCACTTTGCGTAACTCGAAATCATGCGGCCCTGTTTTATCATGTCCTCCGGGATTCACGATCTGTTCAGTAAGCGGAACACGTTCCAAATCTACCGCTCTGGAATAATTGCTATGTGTATTTCACAGTAAGGTTAGTTAAATGGAATTGCAGGTAATAATTGAAAAAAATAAAAACAAAAAGAAGCAATGAAATGATAAGGATTTGATAAATCAGTTTACTTACTCAAGGAGCATGGTATTGACATCTGGGTTCTGGTCATAGCCCCCCTGCAACAATGACAACAACAACATCCATCAGAAAGTGATTTTCAATAGATAATCACTCACATATGCAAGTGCATATGTGAGAGAGACAGAAAATGTAGGTAGTGTATTTACAAACATTTTATTTACATGATCAAGTGACCTTGGGTACAAGTCCAGCTAATATAGGACAATCACTTGTTTAAAATCGCCATTGAAGAACACTAAGATGTGAGCAATTGCCATATACTGTATGAGACGGTTCCATGATTTTCGGATATATTTTTTTTTTCTTCAATTTAATCAACCATATGAAAGTGTTTTTATTTACCTCCTCGATGTCGATGGTATCGTCGTCGGAATCGTCGACCTGGGCCTCCTCCGCAGCATCGTGCAGTTCAAACTCGAAAATCCCGGCCATTGTTTACAAACAATCGTTGGTACCAACGGGCATGGAGGCGCCCCCCTTGAATATCGCCCACAGAATTATGTAAGCACAGCTGGCCCTGGAAGACCGTCCGTCCGTCGCGGCTGTACTTTGTCTATTATTATAGACCCTCCTCAGTTGATGCTATTTCAGAGTCAGCTGTCCAGAACACGTGTACCTTTTCAGATATTCCTTAACTTCTTCGCTCGGTTATCGCCTCGTGTGATGGGTAGTGTGGTAAGCACGTATTTCGCAATGGAATGAATGTGATTGTTAATACGACAGGCATAGGTTATGTACATCCCTGGAATTCACACCAGGTTCAACAACACATGCGACTTAAATGTCACCAGGGAATCAATACCAACAACATCAAACAAACTAAAATGGCTGTAGTTCAAATGAACCATAAAAGTTGTCTTATACGGACATTTATTTACTAAAATAGAGTAATTAAAATATTTTTTTTTTAATGGTCAGAAACAATTCCCAAACGAAAATCAATCATCTTCCATTCATTATATAAATCATTTATATAATTTAAGCTGTAACTTCAATAAATTGCTTTTTTGGCCATTCTTTTAAAATTTAATTTAAATAAAATTGTTGAATAAACACCTTTTTGGATTTGTTATTTATAGTTAATGAATTAACTTTGCATTGCAATTTGCATTGTGGAAATGGTATCAACTGAAGAGTTGGTATGTTTTCCAAATTTAAAAAAAAATTGTACTAACAACTTATACAAACACAAAAAACTTCCTAATTATGGAACTCAAACAACGTCTAAAATTCCTTTACATGTGATTAAATAAGAACAATTTGTATAGTCCAACATGTATCTTACTAAATCAAATGTTGTCATTTTATGTCATTAGTTGCTATTGCATAATTCTTTGATGTTATTGTTAACAAGGAAATCAACAAAATATGAAATAAATTTATTTTAAAGATGTTAGGCAACCAGCCGCACGCGCTCTTTTAAATTTGAATTTTGTTGACAACATCGATATAGACTTATTTGAATAATATTAAACTCATTTATCAATAATATTTATTACATTAAGTTTGAAATGCTAATATTCAATGATGTTGAGTTATGTATCATAAAATATGTACGCGGGTACGCGACACGTCGGCGACTGACCCTTTAAAATAAAATTTTAACATATTATATTTGCTTATAATAATAACAATATTTTTTAGCCAGATAATATAACATAATATAAATATAGCAAAACGAATATGTTAAAATTTTATTTTAAAGTGTCAGTCGCCCACTTGTCCGTCGCCGACTTGTCGCGTATCCATGATTTCATATGTTTTAAATGAATCAACATAGGATGGTATTTTTTCAATATAAATATCTTCTACTGCTCTATCAATTCATCCCTTGACATACCAACCAAACTAAAGGGTAATTCCTCTTTCCTGGACAGGTTATTATCTCCAAATATAAAACGAAAATATTCAAACTATATAATTTAAAAAGGTGGTACAATGACCAGAATAAATTAAATGCTTAATAAACTTGTTTATTAGTAAAATTAAATTTTATGTGAAACTTAGGTAATTAATGGATTTAAAAATTATCCGTTGAATATTGTATATTACACTTAATTCATTTATCTTCTGAACTTTTCTTTGTTATAATTTTTATCTTGTGTCTGTATTGAGAAACAATAGGCGTTTTGCAGTTTATTGTTATCTAATTCAGAGGTTGGTAGTAATGGAGGAAGTAACAACAATAATATCATATTTATCTCACATAATCATAATACAATTATAGTCAAATACACGTAATTATAGTTAATAATAATAGTTAATTAATGGCCATAATAATAATTATATGTATATAGTTAGTTGAGATTGAAAAAATATGTATATGTCCACTTTAGCAAACAACCTATTTTTTTAATATATTCATGTATATATAAATGCGCGTAATTCGTCTTCTCTGTAAGTTAAGTACACTTTCTCTTATTTTCCTTGTTTAATTTAATTGTTAGATAATTAATAAAATTATTAATAATGTCATTGGTAAGTAGCGAAAATTATTATTTCTTTGAGTTGTTTAAATTGGCGACATTCGTTTTTTTTTCCCTGATCTGCACCATCTACGGCGGCCTAGAAATTAAAAACAACAACAAAAAGGAAACAATTGTCGAGTGTCACCATTCTTTTGGAAATGAATAGTGTCTGTGGCGGATGGGTAAATTGGTGGTATCATAAGCATTCGTCGCGGTGGGCGCGTTCGTCGTCCGATTCGTCGTGTTCGTCATTCGTAAGCAAAGGACTACCGTCGCAGCAGATCTTCGACTTGCTGCCCCTTTGACTGCTCGGATTCCTGGGAAAATTGGGCACGAAAGTTCCGCACGGGGTGTTCGGAGCGGAGCGCGAAAGCCACCCCTTGGTGGTCTTCAGAATGCCGCCGCCCGATTTGATTGACTGCTGCTGGTGATGATTGTGGTGTTGTTGGTGCGGATCGTGGTGTAAAGGCATGTAGAGCGTCTTAGCTTTGGAGCGACTGAAGTACTTCTTCTGGGGTTGCTGTTGCTGATGTTGCAGCTGCTCGGGAATGGGACTCTTATGTTGCGGCAGCTGCTGAATCTTATCTAATAGCTCGCGCATCTCTATCGTGGGGCTGGTGGCACGCGGCGGGGAATCCGGTGTGCCCAAGTTGGCCAAACTACTGATATCCGAGCTGGTCATGCTGTTGGTCACGCTATAGCTCTGGATCATATCCGTCATCTGCGGATTCGATTGGGTGGCGGCCAGCTGCGTGGTGATGCTTCCACTGGGTAGGCATACGGATAGGTTCAGCAGGTCGGAGAAGTTGTGCTCCTCTCCACCGCTTTCTGAATCGGCGCTGTGCGTTTTCGCCTTGTTGAAGATCAACTTTCTGCTGAACCTTGCTGGAGTTGCTGGTACTTGAGGCTTCGGAGGCGCGGTCGTCGCGGCACTCTCCCCCACCTCCGGAACCGTCTTCAGCTGATTGGCGCTGCTACTGCGCGAACACAGATTGGAGTGCGTACGCGACATTGAACTAGGAGGCAGAGGAGGCGGTGGCGGTGGAGTAATAGTAGGCGTTACAATCGCAGTTGGTGGAGTTGGCGATGAAGCGAACGTGCAGTTCTGCTTGTGATGATGGTTCACCTCCTCCAGGCTACCCGTGCATGAGTAAGGCGGAGGAATGACAGTATTGGCCTCGTTGCTCGCGTTGCAGATGAAGCTGGAGCTGAGCGAGTCTATCGTGCTGGTGGCGGACAACGATCCTACAGGCCTCACGATGAAATTCCTAAAGTACTGCACCATCAGATAACCCGTAGAGGAGCCATTGCTCTTGACCACCGCGTCCCCGTTGTAACTGATTACAAGCGGGTAGAGATCGGGCTTGGAGGTGACCTGGAAATTACCAATTTTACCAAAAGCAAGAATATAAGTGGAAGTGAAACTGACCTCTGCGTACGGTGGTGGAGCCTGATGGAAGCTGCTGCATCTGCTGTACTGCGGCGGGACGTAACAGGAACCGTTCGAATCTGGCTCCGAAGCTCTCTCATCCCTGCCGTAGTCCCTGCAGCAGAACAAGGCGAAATTGGAACTGTGCCGACGCCACAGCGAACACGCGCACAAGATTCCCACAAACGTCGTCGTTATCGCCACCCAAAAGTACCTGAACACCAAACATAAGTACCATAAGATTATCTTATTCTTGCCAAGTAAAAAAAATCATTATTATCATGCCTTACATCTTGAATCACAGTTTTTTTTTTATGTAGAATTACACTCACATATAACAGCCCTGAAGAATATTATAAATTAAAAACTAACGCTTCTTTTTAACATATTACATATTAAATTTACTAATTAAGTAATTTTACGTATTTGCAAATCTATAGAGTGACAAAAAAAATCAACTTATTTCCATTTTGATCAAGTCTAGCAATTCAAGTAGTAGTATGTATGTAGAAATGAATCATAAAAATCAATTCATATTTTTTATGTGAAAATCAAAATATAGCAACAAAGTACATTTTTACATAAATGATTATATAAACAAGCGACATACTAGAATCAAAATAATTTGTTGAATTTAATTATTGTATCTGAAAAAATGAGTAACAATAAATCTCAATTTAGATAATTGCATGATGAAACTTTTTAATTTAATAGAATATATTGTAGAAATATATTATAAATAACAATATTTTAAAATTATTCAAAAATTTGTTCTACATATTATATTTTGAAAAGCTTTCATTCTATTGTAATACAATTTAAGATTTCTGATAATTATGTCTAAATTTTATTTAATTTAGCTTGATAAACATAGATTGACAAACAAAGATTGATAAACATATTTTTGATTCATTATTATTAAACATTATTATTGGCCACAATAACCGAAGACTTTCTGCCCACTGATTCAGTTTGCTATGAAAAGTATTATTAATACTATATTTATAAGAAAGCTTTCACTGTTAAGTTTCGTTATTAATGAAGGTTTATAATGTATTTGTATTATATTGTTGTAGACATATTTATAAAAATGAGTTAATTACCAGTGTCCGACGAATTGCTGTTCACTGCTAGTCGGCATCGTTGTGGTCTTGTAGATGGGCATCTCCTCAGGATAACAACATCCTTGCCGGCAACAATCCTTCGGCGGGTGGCAGATGTGTCCCCCATCGCAGATCCTCACCTACCCAATATGAAGAACGAAAATAGATGAACCGGACGAAATCGAGCGAGAAATAGGGAAGCCAAAAAAAAAACAGAGAGAGGAAATACAGAGATTAGTATTAATTGCCAGAAGAGGAAATTGAGTCGCGCCGCACGCCATCGATCCCTGGCGGCGACCGCGGAGGAAGCAATTACCGAAGTCATCAGCGGTTCCGGTTCCTTGTTCCGCTCGAAACACGACGACCGTCAAACATGCGACTGTTAATCTGCAACGAAAAAAAAAACAAGAAGAAAAATAAAACTTTCAAGGTATGAAAATTTCAACTAATGATTATCGCAATCATTTCAACTATCTAATCATGTTTTTAAATGCGCATTTTTTTTACCTTAAATAGATACTTCAGATGTGAAATTGTAAATGTAAGGAATACTATTAGTTAAGGGAAATTAATGGTGGATGCGCCTGGTCGTAATCATAATGATTCTGAAAATGAAATGAAAGTTTCATGTATATTCGATTATATCGTAACTTGATATGCGAGGGGATCCTTTTAACCCAAATATCTCGGAGTGTTTATGTTTTCGCTGGAGGGGTTGTTGAAGGGGAGGTTTGGAGAGAAGATTGGCGCCTGACTGTCGCCGCAGCTCGGGGAGAGAAACTTCGGTCATCATCATTATCATCATCAACATCATTAACTTCTAATCAAGCTCTCCCCGCGCGCGCTTTTTTATTTTCGCAAAAAAATAAGGGTAATGACTAAACAAAAAATATGTTGGATGGAAGAGTGGAAAAAGAGCGCAATTTATTGTTATTTCGGCGTGTTCTCAAGGTTCCTGGCGAATTTCCAGATGGGTTAAGTTCAAGCTCGCAGCTAACCCTCCCCCCACCACGCGAATTGATTAATATCACCGCCGTACATGATTTAGAAAGTGATGAATAAGTAAAAAGAGACGGTTTTTCTTTGTTGTTGCTTGTAATAAGGGCACTAAAACGCACTGATCGATTTATTTTTGCTCTGTCGCGTAACATTGGAGCGCCGCCGCCACCGTTCACCCTCGCTTACGTAGCGGTCGGTTGCACAACGCGTTTTCATATCTTAAGAATTTATATAATATATAGGAAAATGTCTCTCACCATCGGCGTCCATCCGATTTCGCATCTTCATCCACTATTTCGCATCCGTCGCGACGGTTGTTCTTCGATCGACGCGGGCGTTGGTTTCTCTTCCGGGTTCGCTCATCACTCACTTAACAACTTTGTGAATTGAAGAGGGTTTATATTTATGCAGATTGTGATACTTGTTTTTTTTGTGGAGTGGGGGAGAGGTGCAGGTGTAGCACGTTGGATTATTGTTTTTCAGTGTTGCAAGGCGAACGCCATCACCGTTATCCGCGTCGCACACGATTGTGTGGAGCGCCGACGGCGGCAGAATCGACGCCGTATGAGCGCGGGAGGGGGTGGGTCGGGGGTTGGCGGGGCGCGCGCCGCGCACTGCAGACGCGTCGACGTCGCAATATTTACATAACGCACGCACCACCCGCGCATCGCGTTACAGAAACCAATTAAAATTAAATTGTCGTGCTGGAATTAATTCATAAAAACTTAATTTGTATCATACAAACTTGCATATTAACTATCAACTACGTACTGTTAATTCTTCTTGTTACACTAACAGTTTGCAGAAAGAATATATTTTGAGATAGTAATGAACTAAATATGATACATCCGACCATTGCTCGAAAAATATTGTTTTGTACCGTATACTGTTGTTAAATATTTTCTGATCTTACAATCACCAAAACCGAGAACATTCTATATTCTTAGCTTATATTGAACTCCACATAAAATTTACGAAATATTAGATTATATGTGGATAGTTGTATAGTCTTTAATTTAATAACTTGCTATTGATATTCAATGTTTTATTGTACAAAGTAAAGTATGTGTATAAACACACAATATTAGAAAAAAAACACGTTGATTAACACTGTGCAATATAAAATACATTACTTTATTTTAATGCAGTATAGTGAAAAAAACAACTTTTCACGTTTAATTTCGAATAATAAATTTAAATCTGCATCTGCATTTCGCGCAACTCGAGACAAATGTATCTCAGGCGTGACAACTTACTCTTACAGAAAATGTATGGTATTAATCAGACAGTAGTAAAAGAAAAAATTGAGAAAATCGATTTAATTTTTTTTATAAGATTTCTTTCTTAATAAAACGATATAATTGATTATGTGAATAATCAAAAATAGTATAGTAAATGGATTTTGTAGAATTTCGTTATAATCTCTAATTACACTGACATGAGACAAATGTCGTTCAGGCGTGACAACTATTAAACACAGATCAAAATATGACAAATTATATATACAGTGGAACCTCGCTTAACGTGCACCTCGCATAACGAGCATTTCGCTTAACGAGCAAAATTAATTGTAAGAAAAATGACTTGCTTAACGAGCGACGAATCACTTATACGAGTAAAATTCCGAAAATTTGGAACGGATTAAACTTGTTAATCGAGGTTCCACTGTATTTGACTTCTATCTCAGTCAAAGTGAGGCGTTAGACATAGTATTTTCCATAACTCGTTTTACGAAAAAATAAGTTTTATTTCCTTCGAATATCAAATTGAAATAATATGTATATGATTTTGTGTTTTGACGGCAAAGTGTATGATTTTTATTTTATCGAGTACGTTAGTATGAATGTCTTGTACGTTTAAAATAATGTGGAGTACTTTTATATGAATTTATAATTGTATGTTGGAAAACGAATGAAGAATGAAACGAGCGACGTTAAGTGAGGTTCTACTATAATTTACAAAATTCTCATAATATTTTATTTGTGTTAGCACTTTTAAACTAATATATAGTCATCAATTATTTACAATACAATACTTATTTAACTTACCTTATTTATGAATTAATTTACTTAATTTCTGGGTACATATTTCTATTTAATAAATAATTTTTAGGGCTAAGAATGGGATGTGATAGAGGGGCGCCGCAAAAATTAAAGAAAAACTGCTATTAACATAAAGTTCGTCCTGAGATAGAAATTCTGACAAACCCAAAAAGTTTCAGAACCTCTGGTTTAGCCAGGTATTCAGCAATATCCCCCATAGTGCGCTAATATATCGAACTGTTTGAAACAAGACTAATCGAGGAACTAAATAAAATACACCGGACTAAGTGTATTAAAGAAGAAAAACGATCATTTACGAATATAAAAATAATTTTGTGTACAATTTTTTTTTTGGAATTTATATACATTTTGGTTAATTAAAAAATAGTTTGTTTTCAAAATTTCAAACCGGACTATAGTAAATCCGCACTGATCGAAACCGGACTATGCAAAGTATTAATGTATATTCTTACAATACACTGATGAATGCAAGGCTTAATAAATATTAATGTATTAATAAGAGATAATTACGTCTGGATTTTTGTTAGAAATTATTAATTTTCCTCGAACTACCAACTTAAACAAATTTATATTTATATGTATTTCTTCGAACAGTAGCTAAAGAATGGTCAACTATAACAAGAAATGTCAATATTTTTTGATCATACTTCTATGATCAAGTTGTGATAAAAATGTCATTTATATGGAGAATGCACTGTAAAACAAATTTAAAAAATATAAACTTTTCAATATTGTAATTATAGATGTCAATTGTTCCAAGATCTTTTTTTTTCATAACTTCTACACAAATTTCAAGCGTTACTTGATTATTCTTCAATGTTGCTAGAAAGAAAACGTTATATTTTTTTTAATGTCAGTTTGACATGTAAAGTCATCATAATCAAATCAAGTATTTTCCAAATTAATCTTATCCAAAAACGTAACTTGGAAGTTCAACCAAATAAATTCAATTTGCATTGTTCATTAATAGAAGTTATACAATTATATTTTTTTTGTCCACCCCGTAATCTCAAATTTGATATTTTTTTGTAAAAATTTAAACTATTTCGAATGTAAAAGTTTCTGAAGATGTGAAAAAAATTTGATCAAATTAAAATACGTTGGTCTCGATTTGTGACTAAGTAACTACGGAGAGCATTGCTTTACTTAGCTGATACAATTTTTAGATAAATTGTTTATTTTATATGACTGTAGAGTTAAGTAACTAATAAAATGTTACAAATAACTTAAAAATGTTTTTTTTTGCATTAAAAGATAAATGCATTTCACATAATCGATTATATATTTTTTTTAAATTTTATAATGAAAAATGATTATATGCATCATTATTAGATCATTTAGAAAAAAAAAGAACAAATTATTAATTGTCAAATAAAATAGTCATAAAAATATCAGAAGTCAAAGCGGTTGTAAATGAAATACAAAGAAGTAATTATAACTTTTAGAGTTCAAACTCAAAAAAATATGTTTTCATTTCCAGTGGAACTTCGGTTTCTGAACATAGAAGCAAATACAAAGAACCCACAGATTTCCAAGTAGATTTGCGGGTTTCAAACAGAATTTCAACTCATAAATAGCTAAAAAAACACAAATTATCATAAAATGTTTTAAATCTTGCGTTAATTTTGGGACACCCTTTATATGAAAAAGTAGAACTTGATATAAATACGAGGATAATGATCGATTGAACTGAAACCCTTTAAATGACATCAATTCATTAAAGTGTAATATTAATTTTGGTTTAACATGTACTTTCAAATTCTTTTTTTCATAATTTGTATTAATATTTAAAAAAAAAAGTTTGTTAATGTTAGGAAAAAACAGTTTTTAAAATCAGAAGAAAAAAAAAAGTTTTTTTTTGTTGGGTTAAAACCCAGATTTTATTAATTTTTATTTAGTAATAAAAAAAAATAAATTTGCAAATGTATTAAACAAATAATGGAGAATATTTTCATTATTGCACTGTTGTATTAAAAAACAAAGGAATTATCCTTAAATGTTTATAATCAATCCGATTTTACTTACATTTTTTGTTTTATACATTTGGAAATTGTAATAAGCAAAATAACAATATTTTCGCTTCATTGCTGCAGTTGCGTTGAAGTTCGTCTCACCGGTATATTATTATACTTCTGTTGTTTACAAACAGAAGTTTAATGAAATTTATAATTGCTTTATCCCATATTTTTCTGAAGATAAAAATTAGTACATTAAATATAATTTAGTACATTAAATTAATTTAAATAAATAATCAGTACGTTTTGTAGTTAAATTAAAAGTACGTGGTGTTTAAGAAAATAGTGGAAAATATCCGAAAAGGATCGAAGATTCACTATTTCGAGAAGTTAGTCGCTGAAATTTAGGCGCTCCAAGCGTTTCTTTAACTCCAACTCCTCGTCCACGGATTCCCTGTTTAATGATTAAGAAATTGTTTAATAGTTGCTTACAATTATAAATAAACAATTTTCACTTACGATTCGTCAATTTGTTGAAGGAGGTACTCGTATTTATCTTGGATCAAGGTCTCTATCGCCATGTCATTTTCAACTAAATCGTTTTGTTGGCTTTCTCTACTCATCTCCAGCTCCTTGATGACTTCAGCATTCTGTCGCAGCTCCTCCTCGGCTTTCTTCTTCTCGCCAAGCAGCACCTGCAACATCTCTGCGTGCAGCTTCCGATTTATCTCCATTTGAGCGGAGACGCGCTGGAATTGCTGCGGCGATGACCAACTCTCCAAATTTTGATCCTTGTAGATATCATCGTGTTTTTCATACGCTGCAACAACAAATACACAGCAAATTAAACATCACTTCAAAAAATGTTGCATAATATAAATTTAGAAATTTCAAATCACCATTCTCAACTTGCTCGTTCTGCTCCTTTCGCATTGAAGTCATTTCGGCGTGATGCAACTTCTCCGCGCTTTCAACGGATTTTGCGTGTTCCTTCCTATTTTGCAGACGCACTTGCAGAATCTCGTCCAGCTCTCTCTGAGAGTAATTTTTTATGGTTTCTGCCTTTCTTAGCTCCTCTTTCCATGTCTTCCTCAACTATCAAAACAATTATCATAATATTATCATTTCCTTCATTAAACTTCCCTATACTAAATACTCACGTAATACTTCAATTTATATAATTTCTTCGATAAACGCATGTCGACTGCTGGTGAGTGAATGATATGTTCCTGCAGTACTCAAACCCTTTTTATATACTGATCTGCGCACGCAAAGGTAGTTTTTGCAAATTTTTAAGGGTTCTTTAAAATGTTTGCAAAGAAGGGGAAATTCGTCATTAATACTATATTTTCGTTGGCCGTTGCAAATTCAGTTTCACCTAGTACCTAGAACCTTTAGTGCAATAAAACCTCACTCGATACGAAAATATTTTAATGGTTTCTACCTGCGCAGCAATAAAAAAATTAGTTTTAATTCTTTGTAAAAAATATTACTTTAAATCTATATTTTCAAATTTTTGCTAATTAATATAAGAAGGAAAGGTTTTTTTTGTAATTATTTCAGTATTTTTGTTTTAAGTTTATATAATACATAAGAAAACATTTATCGTTTATTGTAGTCTCATTTCAACTGCTTTTTTAAACTTTATTTATATAATATATTAATCTTTGCCTTACAACTTTATACAATAATTATAAATAAATACACGAAGAAATAGAAAGAAAAAAAAACGGCGGTTATTTTTATTAATTTCGGACAGGGACTATTAAATCTCTCCTTCTTTCTTCATCTTTTGGTACTCTAAACTTAATGGATAATATAGTAATTAGTGAATAAAAAATAATACAATATTTATATATGTATAAAAAACAAAAAAATAACCTGCGTATTAAGATTTCATCTAAAAACTATTTCCTTTTTTTATTATTATTATTATTCCGATTCATATATACGTAATTACAACTTTTTTTTGATTTCTTTTCTTCCAACATAAAAAACAGACTCACTCACGCACGACACAAGCACACGTATCAATCTTCCACTATCCGTTATAAACTTATCGAGAGTGCACGTAACAATAATATAAAGGGTAACACAACAAATGTTAAAAAAGAGGACAGAGCGAGAGAGGTTAACGTGATTAATAATAATACTGACAAGTTAAGGAAAGTAACAAAAAAAAAACATGATAATAATAAACAAAAGTGATTGATTACACAAGTTGGAGAATGCCGAGAGATTCAAGCGAGGCGATTAAATAAATATAGCAAATTTGGTTGAATATCGATACAGAGAGAATTGTAGAGGGATCATTCTGAAAATAAACGTTGAAGGGCCTTTCAGCTAGACGGAAAGGATTTCAGCGATCCTCGAAACAAGGGACGGGGTTAATGTAGAACGGCGAGTAAAAAAGAGATTTGAGGTTAAAATAATATCCTTGGAAACGATTTGTTTCTATGGTATTAACAAAAAAAAGCGCGCGCGAGGCGATGTAAGTACGAAGATGTTTTGGGTAAGAGAACGCGTTGAATCTCATCGGGCGATTATCCGTTTATATTATAATATTTGATTACAAAAAAAAAACATCTAAACAAAACACAACAGTAATCTTCACAACCTATTTCCAAAAAAAAAACTAATTATACTAATTAAAAAAATAATAATAATTAAATATATATGTATATGTATGTATATCAGATGTACAAAGGGAATTCTCTTTACAATATATACAAGCACACGCGCAATTCATTATTCTCTTCGTCCAAGTAGTAATAATAAATCTCTATCTATATATATATTTAAACGTTAATAAGTTAATGTTTATCTCACAGTACGGCCACTTTTTTTTATAATATATTCTTTTCATATTTCTGTTCAGCCCCGCCCATGAACGAAGAAAATAATTATAAAAATCTGTATGATAGAAATAATTAAAGAAAGTACAAAAGGTTAATTGGGTAAAAAAAATTAAAATATCGTGTAAATACAATATAGAATTAAAGGAAAGTTAGAAGTCGAGGAGTTCGTCTCACAATTGGCCGCTTGAGGAGCTTGTGGAGCAGCACTCGTCGTCGACGTCGTCCTCCTCTTCATCGTCCGAGTTACTCTCGGCGAGGTGTTTGGGCAGAGGCAGCGTGGGTCCATTTTTCTGGCCGATCTCGCTCGGTAGCGATGGCAGCATTTCTTCGCAGTACTCGTCGTATTCGGTTGGAGTCCAGAACTTGTGCTGCTGATTGGGTGTGCTCGATGCACGGTCGCTATCCCACATGAAGATCTCCTCGTGTACTTCTCCCGTCCTTTCTTCGGAGTGAACGGCCCTCGTTCTGGCGACGACGCCGTGCAACGAACCTCCTGACAGACTCTGCGTCAGAGGATTGGACTTAATGCGTGGCCTCTTGTTAGCAGGAGACTTGGTCGGCGTGTTCTTAGGTGGAGTGGCATTCCTGAAACTCCTCCTAACGATCCTCGATGCGACCACGTCAGGACTCTCGTCCATCTCCAGCACGTAGCTCACCGAATCCGACTTCTCTACGACGCCTTTAACTTTCGGAGAACTCGGCGGCGAAACCTCCTCCGGATCAAGGTCGAGAGAATTCCTCGACTTGCGCGATCTCGTCAACGAACTCGGACTCCTCGAGCCGAACGAGTTCTCGCGGAACGAGAGTGTGCGCTCGAAAGAAGGCTTCTGAACGGTGTACCTCTCATTGAAGCTGGCGCTCAGCTTGTTCCTGCAGAAAGCAGAATCCGCCTCTTCAATCACCTTGTGAACGATCTCCTTGTTCTGCTGCAACTTCCACGTCAGCTCCTCGTTGTACTGCTGGATGCGCTTCTTTTGATTCGACTCTTCCTTGAACGACTCATGCAATTTCTTGTTCTCCGTCAGCAGTTGACTAAAAATAACAACAAATATTAATTGGTAATTACAAAAAGAATAACAATAATAACGTACTGTTCAGAATCGTTTTTCCTCTCTAGCTGATGTTGCAGATCCTCGCATTTGGCCAACAATCCGGAGATCTTCTCCTCGGCTGCCGGCAACAGATCGGCCTTCTGTGTGGCTTCCGCCAAGGCTTTCCTCAACTCCGCGAATTCGGATTGTTTCAGTTCGAGCACTACTCGCAGCGATTGCACTTCCTGCAGACTGTTGTCGGATCCCCCGTTACGCGCGGATGCGTACAACGCCTCGTTCTCTTCGCGCAACCTGCAGATTTCCTCGTTGGCCACCGTTAATTTCTCCTTATGCAGAACCTCCCGCGCTTCGTAGTCCCGCCTCAGCTTGTCGCTCTCGCCGCGCTGCTGTTCCAGTTCCCTGATCCTCATGTTTCTCTCGTCGATTTCCTCGCGGATGGCATCGTTCTCTTCCCGAAGGATATCCAACGATTCCACGTGTGTTTGCCTCAGCTTCTCGCACTCCAGTTTCAAAGCTCGGATTTGCGATTCGTGCTGCCTGCTTAACGATTCCCTCAACAAATCCCGCTCGTGCTGATGCAACTTCTTCACATCCAACTGTTGTGCATTTACTAAACAAAGAAAAAAACATTTAAATTTTTGTTCGTACTTCCCAAAAACGACTACTTGTTACATTATACTTAAAAATAATTGTCACATCTATAGATTATTTGAGGTCTTCTAGTCCAATCATTCTCAAAGTATGTGTAGACCCATACCCTTTTTTCAAAAAGTGCAAAAGGGGGTCGCAGACCAAAAAGTTTAAGAAATAGCATAATCTAATATTTTAACTAATTCCAAAATGTTTTTTTAAGATGTTTTTTGAAGTATCAAAATGAACAAATACTATAATCTAGTTATATAAATCACCATAAGAAATGCAATTTCTGAGAAAAATTTAATAGCATAAAACAAAATTCAATGTTAAACATCATATAAAAGAAACTAAATAATAATAAAGAATATTACAATACTCAGAAAAAACAGAAAAAATAATCTTATTCTTTTTATTACTTTTTTTGCGAATAGCAAAATTTTAATATATTGAAACGAAAATGAATATTTAATTACTTCTAAACATTTTTATTGGCAAAAAATATTGAACAAAAAATGTAACAAAAACAAAATTAATTGATATTTAACGATAATGTCGGTTTTATATTTTTATCATTTAAAATAATCTATTTTTGAGCAGTTTTTGAATATGCGAAAAATAATAGGGGAAAAAATGTAAGGACTTTATTTGCAACATTCCAAATATATTTCTGTTAACAAATGTCATGAGATGTGCAAAAGTGAAACTTTTTATACACCATATCGTGAAACATCAATAAGTTTTAATATGTAAGTTATTTCAAATTTAAAAAGAAAAACTAGACGTCCCTCAATTTACGCGAATTTCCGTTCCATCTTAAATCTAATAAGTATAGTATTGCCTACTTACTGTGTACATAATAATATACAGACTGATTATAACGTCTGAATGTTTAAATAATGAAGTATATGCATTATCTTAAGCAAGTTATAATAGAGAGTTTTTGCAAAAAGTTCACAGACAAAAATGGACTACGTTATTTATTTATATTTTTTTTCCGCGTAAATTTAGATCGCGTAATAATACGAATAAATTATGTTCGAATTTACACGTAATAAAAAGTCGCGCGTAAATTCAGGGACGCCTATAGTAACATTATTAGAATTACTGAATTTCATGTTTACTGATACGTGGCAATGAAGAAACTTCTATTTACATGAAGTATTTTTTATACAAGAAAATAATATCATATTGAGAGGAAAGTTGATTCAAGTGAATATCAAATGATGAAAATATTAATAAGAGATAATATAATAAACAAAATGACATTGACAGAAAGGCTGACCTTTGCCTACTAGGACATGGTATAAATATCGAAAACAGTATTTTCTAATCAAAATAGTGATATTGTCAGAAAAATGTATAATCGTTTGTCGTCCAGGAACGCATCCTAAATGAGATCTTATTGTCGAAACAAATATGCTTTAATTATTCGATTAGAATATATACTTACTTAGTGAAATTTCATCGCGATGCTTTTCAATGAGGTGGGTTACCTCGACGCCGAACCTGATGCGCTGCTCTTCCAGCAACTCTGACCTCTGCTTCCTCTCAGCGTTCAACGCCTCCTCCAGCTGCGTGCACAGCAATTGCGCCTCCCCAGCTTCCGTTTTCACCCTATAGATTTCCTTTCTCAGACTCGGATTGCTGAACGCGTCCAACTGAAACACCGCAAAAAGAAAGACCAACAATAAATCATCGTATCAAACGTTTTCGCAAAGCGCATCGATGCTCACATTGAAGACGAGATGTTGGACGAGTACGGCGAGAGCTTCCGCCGTCTTCGGCTGCGGTTTCTGGGGTTGTTGGTGGTGGTGTTGTTGCTGCGGGGGCCGAGCGCCGGGCGACACTCGACCCCCCTTCACTGTAGCTCTTCCAATTTCTACAAAGAAACGTCTGAATTAGCGACGATAATCGATTGCAATGAATAAAGATGCGAAAACGGAATGAGAAATATTTATGAAAGTCGATTTTCCTCCACGCCGTTTATTTAGAAACTCTCCGGCGGCGTGCGTGCATGCAATACCATCCTCTACGCTAGTTGGCGCACGAGAGAGCCGATTGTCTTTTGTAATTTTCACCATTCTTTTATTTCATATACACACGTATTCCATCCGTTCGCAGCACGAGGAAAATAAATTTTCACCATAGTGAAAAACCTTAACTCTTTGTTTTGTTATAACAAGCAACAAAAGAACGAAATTGCCGGAACGTAACAGACTCTTCTTACATATTCAAAGTTTAATTTAATAGCAACAACAACAAAAAATACGATTATCAGTAATTGTTCTTTTTTCGATTCAAATTCAGCCGTTCCATTCACTTTAAAGTTTATGAACTCGGCGAAAAGCGCACTCATTAAAATTGGAAACGACGTAAAGTGGAGCGCGCACGCAAAGCAATTACTCTCCTCGGATCAACTATATAGATCTGCGACGTTTTTTCTTGTTGCTTTTTAAGATTTATCACTTATTGTAATTTCATCGAAAAATAAAGTAAATCTGCATGAATAACGAAGAAGATTTCACCGCTTTCGAGATGTTATCCGAAACAGTAAACTACTTAAGAATTAGTATAATTTCTCAATCAACTGGAAAACAGTTAACCGGGCAAACATCGATACCCATTAAAAAAAAACTTGTTGATTTTTTTTTAACGCAAATAACGGATTATTGCGAATTTGATACATTAAAGTAAACATGACTAAATCATATAGTCATAAAAAAACAGTTGCGCTTTCTTTTTTTTGTATGCTTTGATAGGTGACCGATCCTCCGGTTTCGGTCTTATGTAATCTCCATGATATTGATGATAATCATCCGTTTCCTGCGATTAATAAACTCGCGCTTTGCACGCTTTTCCCTTTCCAAACGGACAATTCAATTAGCAACGTATAAATACAAACGTACGTGGAGGATGCATAATCTCCATGAATACCATATATATAAAAAAAGAATAACAAACAATGGTTTCACATTTGACTTGCATAGTTTTGATACCAATGAGTACATCATAATTAAACTACTTGAAATTCCTATACAAATATATTAAATTCAATAAAACGTTTGTAAATTTAGCTGCACGAAAGTTGGCCGATGGTTCCAAATACGACATGACATCATCTACTATTTTATAACGGCGATGAAGAAAAAAAAAACAATCGGAGAAAGATTTAGTAAAGAAAATAAATTGTAAGCAATGCTGTTTTTTTTTGTCTTCTCTTCTCTCATTTAATTTTGTGTTTCGAAACAAAGTGCAGAAGAAAACGACAACAGTTGTCGACTTTTCCATAGAAACTCTCATCAGCTGGACGGCAGCCAGATGGGTTTCTGGGCCGAATCGCGTCTGGCAGTTGGATGGAAAAAAAATGCACACGCAGATGAAGAGAAAGAAAGAAAATAAAAAGGTAACAGACAACAACCTGCGAAACATATTTATTACTCCTTTAATTGCTTATTAGCAATTCAAGAAGGTGAAGGAAAAAAAAAGAAGAATCGCACCGGACGTGATTTGTTTAAGAAACGAAACGCACCTGAGAAAATGACGATTATATGACATAAGCCTACTTAGAAACGACGATAAGCAAAACAGAAGCCGGTTGTTTTATTTGTTGGTTTCTTTCAAAATGAGATCGAACGCATCATAATCGTTTTTTTTTATTTGAGAGACCACCAATTCGCAGAGCGTCGAAAATGTATACGGTTCGAAGAAGGTTTATTATTCAATACTCGATAATCCATTCTGCTTAAAGAAAAATAGAAGAGACATGTTTGAAAACAAGAATAACTACTTCTTATTTGAGGTATAGAGAACCTTTCCCTTCTTTCCACAATAAATAATTCCGAAAATAAATAAAGCCGGATTATTTAATTTACTGCATTGCAATAAATCCAAAATACTGATCTTGAAAGCATTACTTAAATATACTAAATTACCGAGTGACGACGAAAATTTGTGCGCACCTTTCGGTTACGACAAAATACACACGAAAAAAAAAGTAGTAAATTCAATTACCGGAAGCAGGATAAAACGAAACAAAAGACACTCGCCTATGAATGGGCATGAGAGAGATAGGAGATAAAAATAAAACCACAAAGAGAGATTAAGTCAAATTCCGGAAGCCATTGTTTTCCGCGACAAAGCGGACCGAAAAATGAGAGAATTTTAATACAAATATCATTAACATTAGATGATTTCCGTTTGCTAATTTCATCATTAATTGGTTGTTTGCATATTAGTTAACTCGATATTAAAAAAAAAAAAAAATCTCTAAATTTAACCATGACCACAAAATCCGAAGCACGAAGGTTGCGAGTTCGAAATTGGGGAATAGAAAAGAAAAATTTCCGGAGCAGGTAAATAGTAGTAATTGGTGGTATAAATAAGCTTGTAAAATACTTTTTTTGTAAACTTAATTCGATATTTGCGGAAATCGATGATAGTTGTTGGCAATAGTGCGGAAGAACTATTTTTAACTATTTTAGTGGATTTATATGAGAAAGTGGCCGTTGGCCAGCGTTCGGGAATTCGCGGGACGCACGAACAGGACTATTTTAGCATTGAACGAGAGCAACGGAGAGAGAGGATGATTTGGCTATAGTAAAGGAAGAAAAAAAAAGGCGTTTGCGTAACGCATACAACGTTGAGGAGGCTCGAACTTAAATTTCCCTCAATTAACTCTAATTTAAACGTCGTTCGTTGTTGTAGTTGGTTGTTTTGTTTGTTCTTGTTTTCCCATGGCTACCTTGGCTATCGACTAGCATCGTCAGCACATCGGCAGGGACTGATGGATCCAAAGGAGAGGAAACACTACACCCGATAAACGACGACGCACATTTCCAGGCACTTGTTAGGACAACGGAAACCAAACAAAACACTCATGGAGAGAAATAAATTAAAAAAAACAGAAGAGGAAAATCGGAAAAACTGGCAAGCGCGTTACGAAAACGGCGGCCGGCCTGGCAGTCGGACAGCCCGCGACTGAGTGGAAAAAACAGCGCACTTCGCGGCAGCTTGTGGCATCCGCTTTGAACACGAAAATGGAAAACAACAATAATAAATAAATTAGCAAAGAAATTTTTATTTTTTTTTTGATCAAAAGGCGCTACTAGCTCTGAAGTGGCTGCGAAAACTGAGGCGTGAAGTTGCTGAGTGAAAATAACAGTTAGGAGGCATGCCGGAAATGTTAATATATACACCTGTACATGAAAATACAGTTAATTAGATTTCCATGTCTTTGATGGGTTTTGAATCGAAGTTGGCACATCTATTCCAGTTTGTTATTTGTCGATACGTTCGAAGGATAAGCATCGGTCTCATCTCCGGGAATTTGGGCCGCCAAAGAATAGATTTTTGTTGCGCTGCCAAAAATAAAAAATAAATACATTCGAGCAGTCACAGTTGAAAACCGATCGAAAATCCATATCGATCGAAATCCATATCGATCGATTTTCGCTTCGGGAAAGTCGTTTGTCATAACTATACATATATATGTATAAAAAAGAGAAAAAGCGAGAGAAAAAAATACACACTTTCCCATGACGATTTACGTCCGCCGTAAAATTTCACTTATCCTCGACGTTTACGGTCAAGCGATCATTTTTCAAGAAAGCCCGAAAAACAAACCTCGAGCAACGATCAATCAAAGAGATTCGTAGAAACTAACAAAGGAAAGATGGAAGCAATTAAGAGAATTTCGCAAAAATCAAGTAGATAAACGAAAAGACCCATTGTCCTGTTTGTTTCCCATGGCAATGGGAAACAAACAATTGCATAACAATAACAACAACAAGACAAAAGCGTTCCGTAATCCGTAAAATTCGCACACTCCCCCAATCTGAATGGAGTTCAAATACATCATACATGTTGTACATGTATACTTTATTTTCTATTGCTTCACTTTCACGACATGATGCATGTGCGAAACTCCTTATAACGTATATAGATTGTGCAAAAAAAAAAATAAAGAAAAAGAGAAATTCCCTTAATTATGAAACTACGAATTGACTTTGAAATCTGAAAAAAGAACGGATCGGTTTATTCTCGCATTGATCCGCTTGCGTAACGTGATTCTGGCGAGTAGCCAACTTGATTTTCCCTTCGCCGCGTTGAACGTGCACGGTTTTCCTTCTTTGTTTTTGTTTCTGTTGTTTCGTATGTTTTTCTTTTTGTAGACCGGACGTGCGAAAAAGGAAATTGTATGTTAAAATATAGGGTGCACCGCGAAAGGAGAAATTGGAATAAGGAGCTCGAAAAAGAATCGCTTTGCATTAATTGGAAATCAATTGAACTTCGACACGTTTGACGACGACAAAAGCTTCGGCGCTGTCGATAATGGATGAAGAGTCGAGTTGGCATTGTCGCTAAGCAACGTAGAAGTTAACAAACAGAAACAAAATATCGTTAACATATAAATAAAATAATATAAATGTACAGTTTCCTATCTATTATAAATTTACTTAATGTCCTTTTAGTGATAGATTCTAAATAAAAATGGATGTTAAAAAAGGTAAACATATGTGTAACGTGCAAACTTACTTTTGAAAACTCGACGGATCTTACGAAAAGATTTGCTCAACATATCCACGGCCATTTTCGTACAGAAGAAACTAACCACTTGTCACTCAAGAAAATATGCAATTCGACTGCAGCCGTATCTTTCCAACCAAACTTATCTTCCACCGCCAAACAAACAAATTAATGTCCTCCTAATCACCTAACTACAGTGGCGGGGAAATCAAATATAGAGGCGATTCTTCTTCGTTTTAAATACAAATTAATGAGCATATAATTACCGCAAATAAAATATATAATTTACTCAATAAATTATCACAAAAATATGATTGTCTATTATTATTATTTACGCAATATACAGTCAGCAACGTACAAATTACCGTACGCTAAGCGAATGTACGTTAACTGAACATTGATTTCCCAAATAAATGTATGCATATTCGTACGAACATATTTTAAACTTATTTGAGTCAAAGCGTGATGTTATTTTTTATCTTTAAACAAGTTTTAGAATAATCAAACTCAAAGACACAATTCGTGCTACATTTAACATGATTGTGCGTTGTTGCGAATATTTGTACGTTAATACGGAATTTTACTAATTAATACATTCAGAACATATAAAATATGTACGTATTGTCGATTGTATGTTATATGTGTACTGACTATAGATAGTCAAGAAAGGAGTAAAAGGAAAGGCATGAGAAGCACGTGGTCAGAAGGAATTCGAATAATTGAAACGCACCGTGGCCCCGATTAATTTACGCAATCGCGAAACCACCGCCAATAGAACAGAACAGACAATTGCAAAAAAGAAATATCATCAAAGAATTAATAAACCACAGTACAATAATAAAAAAAAAAACTAGAAGAAGAAATTGACGAGAGAAGACCAAGCGGAACAAACAAGCTTGCAGCGTTATTTTGTTTGGATTAACCATGACAAGTTATTTAATTTATCAAGAATAATTTGGTTGATTCATTGCTATTATATTAGTGTAAAACATACACATCGTATAGAACTTTCATTGTGGACGTTTTTAGAGCAAAATAAAATCGTAAATACATTTACACTCAGTTCCTTACGGTAATTTGCGTAAGTATGAGTAGTTTATCGAGTTATTCCACATTATTTCAAAAGTTACTTGGAAAGCACTTACATAATAACATAATTACATATTCTATTTAGTCTTATATTCGTGGTTGTCCATTTAAAATAATTTAGTAACAAATGTGTAACTTAACATTGGGATTTGAAAATAATGTTGAACAATATTAAAGAAAATTGAAATAATTATAACGGAAATAAAAAAAACTAAGTAAATTATTATTATTAGTAAATAATAAATTTGGCATTCTCATGTAAGTATAAGACTAATGATTATATTTTTTATGCGTCGTGAATTGTAAAATGAGGAAAGAACGAGACAAGAGGATTAGCAAAAATTACCGATGAAAATCAGAACCGCATCGCCTTCTAATGTCAATTAGAAATTGTCTCTAATTAAGAGAAATTCATATAGAATGCGAAATTAATAAATATGTAAGGTGAAGGAAAGGAAAGAACAGAATGAATAAATAAAATAAGAGAGCAAGACCAAATATGAATAAGTACGTAGCAATAATGATAATTCGCATTTTCTCCTTTGAATATGGAACCGATCGATGAATAATAAACTTTTTGAATAATTCCATAATTTTCGTTACCTATAATACATTTTTTTTTATTAAACAAGATATTCAAAAACTTAATTGATCGTAATCTCGGATACGAGAAACTTAATACCGAACGAAACAGAATAGCTCAGCTGAGAACGGTTGGATAACATAAAACTGTTGCGCAAGAGATCCGGTATACGGTGGAACGCATAAAAATAAAATGTAAGAAGTAATGTCTTCGTTCGTTGCCAAAGGTTACCGCTGCTCTCTATATTTTTCGATTTGCCACCAGCGAACGTAAACAAAGTCGTTGACCCGATTGTAGCAAAAAAAAAATAAATTTTTGCATCATCCCCAACAAAGAAACAGAACTCGAAGAAAAAAAACTAACAAATTTGCGTAACTGATGATTTCGGTAATTAACGTTGTTACATCAAAAATTTACATGAAGGAATTCACTTTCAAAAGAACCATACAACAAATATTCCCAACATATTCTAATTGCATAACGACAAAAAAAAATAACGATCCTCTTCAATCGAGCAATCAAATTTTCACGAAAAGAATTTGATTCATGTCAATTTTTACATAAACATTTTTTTTACGTAATACAATTTGAATCCAGTTTTTTGCTTCAGGTTTTTAAAATGCAATAAAACAAATCTTTTCCGTTTTCTGTACAGAACATAAAATTGAGCAACTTCTGAATTTACCGGATTTTATATAATATTTATTCTAAATACTCGTAAATTTGATAGTTCAGTAATGAAAAAGTTTTTTTTAAATAATTAAGCAAATTATGTGAAGTAATTTGAAAAATAAAATATAATAATAAACATTTCTAATGATTCTCCTTAGCTTCGAAAGTTTAGTAACATCAATTTCTAGTATATAAAGTCTTAAATTCACACTTTTAATACATTATAAATTGGTTGATAGCAAGTTTTTATTGAAAACTTGTTTTACGATCTACGTATTTGCAATATATTTGCTGTAAACTTTCAGTTAATTTTCTGACAGTTGACAATTGTAGCAAAGCACACGATGGCAATTTTCTTAATTACATATCAATGGTGTTTTAATCAATGGTAATGGTAGATCTAGCTTGAATTGTTAGGTAGTTGCAGAAATTAATCATACATTTCTAACAAAAGATTTCATTGATGTTTGCATCAATTAAGTTGTTTCACACTTAGATAAGCCTAAACGGAAACCTCCTAAGGAATAAAATAGTATCTACTACTAATAATAATAATTTATAAATAACTAACTCGCAAGTTGTCTACAAACTCAAGAAAATAATTATCGCAGAAAACAATAGATTACAGCCAGCTAATGAGATTTGCAAAGAAAGGATCAGCACTTCTAAACTAGAATACACATCTATAAATCTATCTAGAAGAACTAACTAATCATTACGATTACGGAGAGAATCCGTTTCGTTTATTTAATAGTTTTGGGATGTACCTTTGTTTTTCTTATTGGGCAACTTAATCGATGTCCAAATGTAGGTCTTGTTCTTGATGCGTTCGGTATCCTTTGCGAAAATGTCCAGATCGCTCGCGGAAAACTTGTGCTTCTTCCCTTTGACACCCATAATAATCCCTTCCGGAAGCAAACAAAACAACAGAACACACAGTCAGTCAATTCACAGGCAAAGTGAGCAACGACAAAAAAAAGAAAATTAAAAAAAATCAAACAAACGACAACAATAATTGCGGTCGTATCAACTGCGAGCGCGCATCTCAACGATGGGAGATCCAAAACAAAAGACCAGACCAGAAGGAGCGTTCGTGGTGGTAGACAGCGCGCGAACAACTGACTGCCAACTGGAAGGAAACACCGCGGTTCTTCGGAGAGCCGCCGCGGTCCGATGAAAGCCTTTCTCGCATCCATCCGACTCTTTAATTGCCCCGCACTTTCTAACTAATATACGTGTACGTGTGTACGCAGCGTAGAAGAGAGACGGAAGAGGAAAAAAGAAATAAACACGAAACATATAAAAAGAGAAGAAATAGAGCCCACTCGATACGACCGGACGAGACCAAACAGAAACAAATAAATCAATCCATTCAGGGTTCTCCCGCTCTGCATAAACATCCGCAGGGCACGAATTATATAAGAGAGCATATACATACACCTATGTGTATCATTGTGCCCGAAATCACTTTCGTTTCTTAAAATTTCGCCGGTGAAAGGAGTGCTTCAATTAGCGCCGCTCATCATCGACAATGACAAATAATAAGTCGCTTTGGTTTGCGCATCCTTCTAATTATAAGACATACATGAGTCACATTATAACTCTATTTTGCGCTTTGCCACTTTCGCGAAGAATCATCACCGAGTATGACCACATTTTAGCAGGTTAACAAAGATGATCTGCAATTCAGATTTTAACAACGAGATCATTGGCAACTCGGATCGAGGTGAAAGAAAGAAAGACAAAAATAACAAACCAATGTGACCTGACTTAAGTAATCAGTTTTCTTTTTTCCGCCCACGTTCGCTGCCAATCGAAATCGGATAAATTAACGAAGAAACGGAGTAAGGCAGAAGAAGGAAATCGAGTTTTGCTCGATGGAATCAGCTCCAATTTACTCAGCGAAACTATAAATTAAATCGCGCTTAAATCGTAATTCACCTCCTTTCTCTATCTCTCCTTAAATTCAATTGTTTTCATGATGCAGGTACCGTATGTAACCAAGCAATGCGGCTCAATTTCTCCAATTATCAAAAAAAAAGAGGCAAACAAATGATGATGATAATGATGATGGTACACCCATGCATGCAAATTAATTTCACTTTCCATCGGATCTGCATAGATTACGGAATGGGCCCTAATAACAGTGAAAAAACATCGTAGATAGAAGAATGGGCGATATTCCGTTTCGCTCCAAATACCGAAAGAGGAATTAGCGCGCGCTTAGAAATTAGAGTTAAAGGAGATCGGAAAATGAGACGCCAATTAACGTTGTCTAATTAAAATAGTCATATATATGTACATATATACAGTCAATTATCAGTTAACGCACAAAATACCGTACGCTAAGCGAATGTACGTTAATAGGATGCGGAATGCCCACTAAAGTGCTTGAACTAAAGTACTTGACATTCATAGGTACGTACACATTTTTTGCATGCATAATTGAATTTAAATTATATTATTCATGTTTTTCTAAAACAAGTTTTAAAAATAAAAACCGAATGTCGCTTAGTCCGAGACATAATTGTAAATTCCTACAAATGTTTATACGTTAAATATTCAATGGGCATAAATAATCATGTACGCACTATCGAACTACGTTAAATGAGTATCCACTGTATATATTTCATTACAAAGGAAACAGTACATTAAAAACAAGAGAACGAATGAACTAAAACAAGAAAGAAAAAAGTTCAACGCAACAAGAGAATTAATTATTGGCACGACGTCGAACGGTCTCGTCGCGTTCGCACGCGGCTCAGTTGCACAAAACTCGAAGGAGGAAGACAATAAGACTTGCGCAATCCATTGATGAAAGGATTTCCTCTCTGTCTCCGTCTTCCATTATTTACGAAACATTCCAATCAAAAAAAAATATGCAACGAGGATGCAATAGCAAATGATAAATTGCAAAATCCCAACGTTGATTCCTCACAACAATGAAGACGAACTTTTCCCTCTGCAAGAGAAAACAATTAATTAAACTTTCCCAAGGGAACAGTTTTTACTTTGACTCGCTTTCACGTAGGCATTTATTCGCCCATTTCGATGTTTTAATAGGTGACGAAATTGAATAGAAGATCATCGACCGTTTGATTATCTTAATTGATATTGTAGGCAACTTGCGATACGATGGTTATACAACCAAACATATATAAAATCGTTCAAGCCATATAATTACATGACTTAATAAGTAATCAACTAATGAAGACTACTTACGTCATCGTGAAACTATCATTGAAATTCGTTATGTTATAAAATTGTATAATTAACAATGGAAAGTTTGAATCGTAGGCAACACATGATACACGAGTATTGCCAATTGTTCAAACTGTATTAAACATTTAAATTGTGCATCACGTTATTGTTGGGAATATTATTATAAGCGCCTAAGCAATGAATAGTCAATACTCGAGACTTGTCAAAATCATATTGACAAATACTACAGGAAGCGCAAGAACTTGCCAAACAGCTTGGGCGGCCAGAGGTCTGGTTTTGTCCTGATTTTTTGTTATATGTACCGGTGTCCCATTATGTAAAGTAAAGAAAGAAATACTAGTAAAGAATCCGGATTTTTAATTACCGGTTCAATCTAACATCCTATGGTATTTATTATAACTACACAACATTTGACAAGTAATGCACCTTCGACCATTTGATAAAATGTACCTATATAACTTAACTAAATGATAAATAACAACGTAATTGGTAAAACAATGTAAGAACGCTTAGCTTACCTTTAGATATATCTTTTTTTTTCTCCTTGTTATTGAATAAGTTCCTATTGGCCGCCGTAGATTTGTTGACCTCATTGTTAAGATTGGCGTTGTTCTTGTTTTTAACTGAAACGATAAATAAGAGTACATCAGAATCGTGAAACAACATAACAAATACATCCGCGCAATTAAAGATCAATCAGAGTTTCTGACAATTACGTACAATTACATAACAGCAATAATCATCGCGGCTCCGGTACTCATGAAACAAAAGCACGCGGAAGATGCGGTCTTTGCCTTCTCGATTTTGTTCACCTTGGGGATCCCAAGTCGTCTTTAATTCGCGAAACGAAGCTCGAAATCACCGTCAGATTAATACGTATTTTTTTTACACTTCGTGATTCGAATCGCAAGTCGCTCACGCACTCGCACAGGATGCCCATCAAATTGGCTCCAATTGGTACCAATTTAATTTCGCTTCGACGGAGCGCTTTTTATTTTGGTAGATCCATCTCGAAAACTTAATGTCGAATCCACACCTCGTCGGATTTCAGCTGAGCTGAAGATGGGCGAAAGAAAGAAAGAAGATGGGCCTCAGCTGGAGCGTCTAAAAATGGAGCTTCCGTATTTTAAAACGCGCAATCCATCATCGCAAGAGCAGCGAGTCAAGTGCGCATATGAAAAGGCACCAACAAATATGACATATTCGTTGGATACGAAAAGAAGGAAACATCCTATGTCGGAAGTGACGTTAAATTGATACAAGATTGGAGGAAAACGGAGAGACGACAGGTTGTGGATGGCGATGACTTCATTGAGGAAAGTAGCTAACGGCTGGGCAAATGAAGAGGTGGAGGAAGAAACGGACCTATTTTTAGTCGCCGAAAATAGGAGGACGTGAAAGGTGGACGCAGAAACATTGATTCACGAATAAATTAGTCGCTCGATGTGAAAATACACTTTTTTATCACGCCCTTTCGATAAATAAGGACGCCGCTCCAATTATCCCGGCGCGGCTTCCTTTGAACCATCATTAACACACAAGTTTACGTTCATTACCATCGCCACTTATTTTTCAGCTAATTAACCAGCACTTACTGTTTACAATTATAAATGTTTTCTTTCGATATTCTTAATAACGCAGGGACACAATTTTTCAAGGCATACTGCTTATAATTGTACATATCTCTTTCAATATATGTACAATATATTGACATTATCGTTGCAAAATATTAAAATCTACTAGAAAATTTAAAACAAGTTTAATAACGATTCAATCAAATCAGTATTAAAAGACTACACATCAATCTATTGGGTGTTAACATAAGTTCTTTCCACCATTCCAAATTAAGAGGACAAAACAACAGAATGACTAATTTATTCTATTTTTTTTAACTTCTGACGCGCATTTTTTAATTTTAAATTCCGAGATTATAGTACCATATTCTATAATGTAATGCAGATCTTGTTCATAGAGGCTTACTAAAGTTAATTTATACAATTATCACTTAAAATGATGGCCAGTAAATCTAAGAAGCTTAGAATATTTTACCATTCCCTCATGTCACACAATGTGACAGCTGCCATGAAATTAAAACGGAACCCAATATATAGAGTTTTAATAAATATTTTTGCATTCAAGCAAAAATTAAATAAGAACAAAAATCTTTACTTACAATTAAGAATTTACATGGAAAAGAAATTACATTTAATGCTTAATGAAAATTATAGCTGTCCTCTGTTTCATTGCCAACAAGGAAATTCAAAATATTCATATTGACATTGTCGAATACATACACCTACATACACTTAAGCAGATGATGCTGAGATAGATTCGTTAATATCTGTTTAACACTCATACGACAATAACAAGTCTTATGTGATTTTGAACATTTTAAATTCAAACGACAATTGAAATAGGATCATAAGGATCTCCGGATGAACTTATGTAATAAATCAAATATTCAAACTAGAGAGTCAAATTTTCATATTTGTATTTCCCGCTCTACCGGATTTTTTTTTTAATTTGCCTATTATCAAACATTTCAATTAATGCTTTGTAAAAGTTAGAGACGACTGGATTCATTACTAACAGGAAAATTTAAGAGATTTTTTCAATATTGATAGTATGGAAACTCAAATTAACGTACTTGGCGCAACATAAACTTATCTGTTAAACAAATCATTTTTAATTAGATATTAAATTGTAAGTTGTAAAAGTGTACATAATTACATAAGCATCCTATGGGAAAGTTTTAACCAATTAACATCAACCGTGATCAAATTTCCTCATTGTTTTTACAGAATGTCTTTCAAATAAAATAAAAACAATTACCAGAATATAATTAAACTGACAACAAATAAAAATACACAGTGCATTATGCAATGATTAAATTTACATATTGTATAGTATAAAATGCACAATACAAAATTAACTATTTTTTAGAATTACGAAAACAATTATCTAAAAAGACTCTCAGGAATGATTCCACAATTATTCAGTTTCCTTAATTTAGTTCTACTATTGTCGTATTTGTTGCAATATGTACAAACATATAACGTCTACCTTAAAAGAACATGATCTTGGAATTATTTTTTTTCTGATTATTGGGCCTTTTTTAATGCTTTTGTAAATTAGATTTTTTTTATTAATTAATGAAAATTATTTTGTGAAATTAGTTACATAAGTAATTAATTTTACGCTACATATCAAAGTGACGTGGCACAGTTAAGTTAGCCATTTATTTAAAATACTAATAATTTTTCTATTCAAGCAGAGTTTTTCAACCTTTTCTTTATATCACAGCACACTTGAACTAAGTTAAGCTTCCGCGACACACTTAAATTATTATAACATCACGACACACTGGTTGAAAACCACTATATTAAACATGCGAATAAAATTGATGATTGCGATTTGTTTTTCGTTGTTTTCTTACGTTTCCTTCCAGGCATTTATTCGTTCATTAATAAATAACTAAAAAAATATTTCAGACTACTTTCATTGCTGCATATCTTTTTGATTCTTTTACTGTTACTCCGAAAAGTAATAATTCAGTACTGGTTTAACTGCACAAAGACAAATATAATTTGACTCTAATCTCCTCACAAACAAAGCGAAGATACCAGGGTTTGAGGTAAATAGTTTTATGTTTGGAATATTTTCCATATCATCCCAATTCCATTCTTACATAATATCTGATTAATCACTGCCCGTTCAAAGCACATAAAACTTTTATTAACGAATCCATCTCAACATCTTCTGCTTAAAGGTATTTTTTAGTTTATGATAATTTTTAAATAGAAATTCAGAACTTTCCTTAACAAAAATACTGACTTATTATTTCCTATACAACTTTCATTATTATTTTTACCGCATAATAAAGTTGAAATTGGAAAATAAACTTCAAACGTCTGGGATGCGTCTTTGTATGTCAAAGGGTTAATAGGTTAATGCTAAGCACATATATTACGTAACGATATTTTATTGTAAATACTGACCAAATATTTCTATTTTTTTTTTAATTAATCTAAGGAATGAAGATATGTAATGTCTGTATTTTATGATTTGAAGTAGGTAACGTAAATCTTTTAAGAGTCGACGTATAAAAAAAGACGATTCCAAGAGGCATAAATAAAGAATGGTTCGTTGCCCTGGCAATTGAAGCGAACGAGCGTAAATATCGAGTGTGTTTTTCTGCTGAATTAAAAGTCCGTTTGCAAAATTCGTTAGCGCTGTTTCTCCACAGTTCTCGTGAACCTGAGGATTAGCGCTCGTTATTTACACATGTTGCGAAACAAGTGTCTCTTCTCGAGATCGAGAGCCGTGCGTGTTATTTCCCAACGAGATCAAACGACGGTAAAAGAGGAGAGGAGAGACCGAGATGAATGCATGCAACCTGTTCCATTCGGATAGAGCAGGTACCACCACACAACGAGCAATTCGTAAACACACATATAACGGATACATAAACATTTCATCTTTCTCTTCGTCTAGTTAGTTACCTTCAGTGGTGTGGTTGTTGACTTTCGGCGAGATCTTCGACGCCGTCAGCACCTGCGTCACTCGCACCACATCCCTCTGCTTTTTCGCTGAACCTAAAACAGAAAAAAAAAACAATCAATATCTATTTTCCATTTCTCAAAATATTTCAAATATAGTTTAAAAAGTAAGTAAATAAACAAAAATAGTCGACCTCTCTTGGCGAAACTTCCGAACCTCTCGCGGTCGGGAATCCGCGGCGCCGAGGAGGAACTCCCGAATTTATCCTTGGACGGATTCTGGCCCATCCCAATCACATTTCAGTAGCCTTCTTCATTTTCTCTCTCTATCTTTGTCTCTTACAGTCTTAATTAGTTTATTATAAAGTACGCGGTATCACATGGTTGACGGTATCACAGACCCATCCGGCTGGGTAGAAAAAAACACAGATCTAAATCCGCGACCTAAATTTGAAAGGAAATTGGATCAGCGAATGAGATCTCCGAGGAAGACGATTTCTTTTCTTTTTTGTACATCCCAAAATAGAATCCAATACTATCACTACTACTACTATTACTACGACTACTGCTAACTGCCTACGCCTACTGAGCTGTGGGTTCTGCAGCAGCGGATGAGAGAAACAGTTGCAATCGCGACGTAAATGTTGGAGAGCGAATCGGAATTTATCACTTGACGCCGCGGCGAAAGTGAAAAACGAGAAGGGAGAGAAGAAGACGATGGTTATTTGCTGATTGAGAGGGAATTGCGATAACTCAGATGGAAGATGATGGACCGAAAATAGATTTTGCGTTCGAATTCAAATAAACATCGAAATTTCCTTCGTCGAAACAAGAAGAGCGTTGGTCAACATCAAAATACATTAATCATATAAAAATAATAATTGAAAGAACCGAAAGAATGCGGTCTTTTTTTTGTAGATGCAATAAATTTGAGATATTATAAATAATTTAAAATTTCAATAAAAAAAATAATTAAAATTATATTTAATGTGAAGTGCATTTAAATAATATTAATGTGAAGTTATAAATAACTTTATTACTTTCGAAGATCAACACGTTTATACTTAAATATTTAATTTAATCCTTTTATCAAGTGTTTTGTTGTACGTTAATTACACAAGAACAATTAAATAAAATTTCATTAATAACTTATAACCAAATTAGAAAAAGAAATAACGAAAAATAAAAAATATTTTTTTAAGAAATTTCATAAAAAAATTAAATTAATTTCCTTCTTTGTTATATTATAATTAAAATGTACTTTTTTATATTATTTCTGCATTTGTTTGTAAATGAGGTACTTTTCAATCTATTTTCAATCTAAATTTTAAAAAAATGGTCAAGTTGTGAATTTATTCAGAAACTTAACAGATGAAAACTAGAGAAAAAACTTAAAATCTAAACTAAAATCAAAATTAAAACAGTTAATTAAAGACAATTGGTTTTAGAGAAACTGAAATCACTAAAATAACAATAGAAAATTCAAGCAATTTATAAATTGAGTGCACTTAGTTAAGGCCAATCCCAAATGATTTAATTCGTTAAAGTGAAACTGAGCTTAATTCAATGTGTATTGATTGCATCATAAAAAAAGAAAAAATACATCTACAATTCAATAGTGGAATTAAAATTGCACTTTAATCATTAAATTTACAAAAGAACAATAAAAAAGACTAAAACAATGGAAGCGTTTCTGAATTCAAGAGCAGATTTGATCCAACGAAAAATGCATTGTAATTCGAACTTGTAATTAAGTTACAATTGACGAGCAACGGAAATCAAATATTATTTCTGAGACAAACGCAAACGCCTTGTTTCGTTCAACATAAAGTGTACTTAAGTCAATTTCAAACAAATTTAGTTGAATGATTTAGGATGGAAACTGATCAATGCAGAACGTCGCTCGTTATATGAGTCATTTTTCTTATAACTCATTTTGTTCGTTATGCGTGCTCGTTAAGCGAGGTTCCACTGTATTTATAACATTAGAATTATTGTTGTGGTTTGCATAATAAATTCAATTTGTTTGTTTTCTTAAAAAAGTATGCTTAAATCATCGTTTAAAAAAGAAATTAGTCATATCATGTAATCATTATAAAACGCATGTTTAAAAGTGTACTTAAGTTACATTTATGTGGCTTAATTGATAAATTAGAGTCTTAAGAATGTTAAACATATTAATCTAAATGATTTATTGCGCAGTTTATTGGATAGTAAATTAAGTTCATTTATTGTTGTAAAAACTTTACTTAAGTCATCAAAAATATTGGAATAAACTTTATGAAAGTGTACTTAAGTCACATATTTATTTTATTTTTTGTTTCTAATTTATACATAAAAGTAAACTCGAGTCAAGGTTGATGGCTGGCTGCACCATACAGCAATTCCAAAGATTACAATCACCAAACTAGTTTCTGGACTCAAACTGATTAAAATTAAATTTCCGATCTCGAGAAATTTAAAACACGTAATTAACGAAATCGATGATGCACTTCTAAAGTTCAAGATCTGTCAGTATCTCATGCAATTCAATAAATTGTATATATGCAAATCAAAATAATAATAATCGCTGCTGAATTTACTACGTTTTGTATGAAAATATTGAATGTTTCGATCGTTTTTAAATTTGTATCTAATCCTTAGATGTTTTTCTTTCAAATTAATTAATTCATCGTTATCGTCATACCAGTTTCGATTCAAACAAAATATTTGGTTAAATATATTTTTAGATCTTGAGAAATTTTAATTTAAAACAAGTAATCGATGATGCACTTTCAAAGTTCAAGACCTTTCCCTTTCTCATTAATTTCAATAACTCGTATATTTTCAAATCTAACCAATAATAATTCGACATTTAATTTTTTTTTTCTTTAAATTAATTTGTTCATCTTATCACTAAACTTATGTAGTTTTCGGACAATAAAATGCACCTTTTTTTACGCAGAGAAATCGACTTTAAATGTGGGTGCGCCTTATGGTAATTTATATATTTTTTGTTTTCTAAGCATACCTTAACCTATGGTTAAATACTTAATGGGTCACGAAACGACAGCTGACACCTTACTGACAAAGTGTCACAAAAATTATATTATAAACAATTGGGTCGCAGTACAATTATAAATATAATGGGTCTGTCTTTCAAAAGATGTGATAATTTGAATTGAAACAAAGTACATAAAACACTTTATTGACGGAATCGATGATGCACTAGCAAAGATCAAGACCTTATCGAACCTCATTCAATTCAATAAATCATATGATGTTTTTTTACAAAATAAATTGTAATTGCTGCTGAATTTACGTTTCGATAATTTAACACGTTTCTTCTATTTTCTATTCATGTTCAATCGTTCATCAATCAAACCTTATTTTTCGGACCATAAAACGCATTGTTAATGAAGTTATCTGCCCTTTTTCGTCCGAAAGATTTCAGATTTTGCAATAAAAAAATCTTTAATTATTTAAACTTGTTATTAATAAAATCGATCCATATTTCAAGATTTCTTCGAAACTAATACAATGTAATACTTTCTATACTTACAAAGTAGTAGAAAAGTTAATTTTGTTAATCATTTAACATGTTTGTATTTCGTATATTTTTACTTTCAAATTCTTTCGTTCTTTGCATCATCAAACTTCGGACCATAAAACGAACTTTTATACAAATGAAATTGACTTTGTGTCTTATATTTTATATACGTTTTATCTTTCAAAAGATATGGTAATTTGGATTGAAACAAGATACTTCAAATTCTAATTTCATAATGAGACTTTCGCATTTCTTGGACCACAAGACGCACCTTTTTACGCAGAGAAATCGACGTTGAAAAATTAAATGTTTCGATAATTCAACATGTTTCTGATTCTAAAAAAATCTCTAAAAAAAATGTTCCCGTTTTTTTCGTCCGAAAGATGTGTTAGTTTAGATTGAAACAAAATACTTGATTCAATAAAATTTCTATAATTATTTAAACTTTGGAAACCCCATTCAATGCAATAACTCATAGGAGTTACAAATTAATTCTTTGTATTATCATTGAACCAAAATACTCGATTCAAAAAAATCTTTAATTATTTAAACTTGTTATTAATGGAATCGATGATGCACTTCCAAAGTTCAAGACCTTTTTGAAACCTCAATTCAATAAGTCTCCCATGTTGTTTTCAAATCAAAAATAATAATCGCTGCTGCATTTACGTTTTAGGTGAAAAGATCAATCATTCAAGATTCGTCTTATCATTCACACGCTATACGATTTTTTTTTAATATTCTTTCAAATTCGTTTTGTTGTTTTTTTTTTGTTTTCTTCAAACGGCACTCAGAGATCCGTTCGGGCAAAGTAGAATTTGCGAACAGTTACACACGCTATTATGTCAACTCCGCCTCGATGTTTCTCTCCATTTCAGGAACAAACGCGGCCAACGAGGAACTGGATTCAAGTACGGCGAGTTACGAAACGAAAGAACTGAATGGACGCGTATATCTCAGGTGCACACGCGTCTCCTCGGAATGCAAGGTTACAGATACACACATACACAGACTCAAACAATATTAATATATAGTTTGGGACAACAACCTACAATCAAAATACAAGTTGAAATGAATGAATGGGACAAAGAGAAAGAGAAAATCGGAAATCGCTATTTTCGGAGGAAGGAATGCAGCTAATTGCCGAATTGATCGGATGCTCGTAATTCCAACGCACCTCTATTTCGGGCCAACCCCGCACAACGTCGTCCTTTTTGCCCTCTTCTAATTCAACAACCGATTTGTCTGATTAGTGCACCCTATTTATATCCATGCACTATTATTTCTTCTCTCTCTCTCTTCCTCTGCAAACTTTTGACCTCACACAGTAGTGCCATTTTAGAATCGCGACAGTTGGAAAGTGGACAACGACGACGGTTAATTTCGCCGCATTCGGAATAGAAAATTGCGTGTATAATCGAGTAGCTTACGTAATCACCGCTGTTCGTGTACGTTTTTATTTTCTAGTTTCTACTTTAAAAAAACATTTCCTTAACAAAGTTTCCTATTCATTCATTTCCGTAAAGTCTCATCAAATTTTACCACATAAAACAAACAAATTTACTAGAAACCCACTCACAGATCAATTAGATCTACTATAAAATGCTAAAATTGAATTAGATTAACATCCAATTATTTTAACTACATTCACTAATTAATTAACTTTAACATTTTACTACTAAGCAAAAAATTAATTGATTGCTTTTAGATTATGAATATATGCCATAAAAAGTAAAGGTATATGCAACGTTCTCTCCATTCCAATAGTCTCCAAGTGGTTATTAGCATATTCGCTTTCCAAAATCGTTTGTTTATGGAGAGAACAGCGCACATTTTCGCGCTAGACTTCGCACAAGGTTAATAATAACCAACAAATAATAATAATGCAACAGCGGTTGAATACATTAAGTCCACCATCAGTAAACTAATTAAAGCGATTCAATGCAAAAGCGTAATTATCATTTTCTCCTGGGAAAAGACGTCTAATTCTTAACAAAAACAAAAAAAACGAACAAAAAAATGGACGGTTTTGTTTTATTTTTTGGTTCGCACAGTGGTCGCGGTGGTGATGACTTTTCAGAAGTAGTTTTATTGTTAAGGAGGGGTGTGCTAAAATTACGTGATTAAAACGCGACGTAAACGTGGGGTTGCAGAACTGGGACACGCGATTCAGGGCTGTAGTCTGAGTCACGACGTGAAACTGCGGCATCGACGGCGGCGGCGGTGTCGGAGGCGGCCAATCGATAACTTCGCATTTCTGGAGGAGTCTCTGAACCCATAAAACCCATATCAATCCATAGAAACTCCAATCGCTCTTAGGTTGCGCAACGCCAATATCAATATTACGGTTGTAAAACGCAAAGAAGTTTCAAAAGAAAAGTATATTTACGTGGACTTCATTAATTATCTAATTAATCCTCGGAGATCTCACTCACGGTAATGATAAAATGATGTATTATTTAAAAAAAAGGATAGTAATAAATAGACACTAATAAGAAGAGTTTGCGCGGATGATCAACAAAGGCACTACAAATTCAGAAATCACTAGATATTTTTTGTTTGTTTTTGATCTTCAGTAGTATTTTGTTGTTATTGGCATGGCGATGGCAGGTGCATCGCTTCCGGAGATCGCGAGGCTCGGTTTCTAGTAATCAAACGTTCTCGATGTCCTCGCCGGACGGACGTCGGGCATCGACTGGAGGAGCGCTGGTTGGATGGATGAAAGTGCGCGCGCCCTCCATCCGACCATCATCGACTCGGATCCGCGCAAAGTGGAGGAAAGGAAGAAAGGATGGAAGAGGATAAAGAGCGTGGTTTTCCATTCGTCATCTCCAGAAGTTTAATTTTAGTTCGAGGGATTCGCGCGAAACGAAAACAGAAATTTTCGCTGCGCAGAATGAATAAACAAAAGTACCAATTCGGTTCAATCCGATGATAGAGATGTTATTCGAAGAACGTTTTGGGAATCAAAATTTGGAATTAGGTTCGGAGATGAAGGAATTCGTCTTGGAAATTGAGTTCCTTCATTACAGATGCACACTGTTTCTTGGTATATCTTCTCTCATCCTCTTTCACTCGACGGACTTCCGTTAATGTCCGTGAGCGAAATCCCAATGTTAGGATGTTGAGTCCGAGCTGCCGCCCCGGGGGGCACGCTCGACTCGCAAACGGTAAATCCGGTATTATATCTTCGTGCATGCGATCAAGTGCTTTGCTGCAGCACATCCATTCACGCTTGTACCAACCGAGACTATTCAGAAGAAGGATTATGAAGAACAAAATAAGCTAGAAATATAGCGCTTAAGTTAGATTGAAGAAACAAATTCAAGCCATCTAGATGTTCCCGTCCGCAGACAGAAAAACATCATCACTATGCAAATAATCAGACTAACTTTCGCCACTTATACATTATTGCTCCAAAGAGAATAGAATAAAGTTTAATATAAATCACTTTAGCTTAATTTAAATAGAATTTATGAAGAGAATAAAAATAAATAAATCAAGTTTGTTTAGCTGTTAGAAATTGTAATTATCTAATTTTTATTTACTGTTTATTTTGCACAACTATTACAAATAAACGTTCTTATTATTAGGCGTAAAGACTGCGGTCGTTAGTAAATATAGAATATATATTATTAATTTCTTTATCTCAAGTCAACTTTATATATTAAAAAAGGAAACTTTTAAAGTTTTTAAAATCGTATTAAAATTAAACATATTTAGATATGAATACAACAATTTATATAAATTCACATTCGTGAATTCTGCACTTGTTTTAACTCTTTGAAGGGCCAGAAATTCCTAAATTTCCACAAAAAAAGTCAATGCATAGTTTTAAAGATCTTGCTGATTAGAAGAAGATAATTCCTCTTTTTTGGACATTTTCTAGAAAATTAAGATACAATCCGCCCCCACTAGGCATGTTCAAAAGGTGGTACATTGCATGTAACACCGCCTTTCAAAGAGTTAAAAAGAACCAAATTTGCTTAACTTAATTATATTATAAATTTAAAAAATGAAAAACGAAATGTTTTGCCATTTGTTTTAGCACAATTAAATTTAAGTACCTTTCAATAATAAACTTACATTTTTTTAAACATTTACTCTGAATCTTCTTTGGTATCTTTTGTGTTCAGATTTGTATACAAAAAAAAATCTAAGACAATGTATTACCAAATTTGAAGAATTGGTTTAAAAAAATATAATAACAAAGGCATGGCGAGGAGACAGGTGTTTTGATATATAAATTGAGAGTCAAAAATAGAAAGTATAATTTGATAGAATACAAACATATCGCTTACCGATTTTCTTTGCCGGTGAGGCACCGCTGAGATCGCTCAGTGAACTGTTTATACTTTCGCCGGCGTTGCTGTTGCTTTTGCTGGAGGTGTTGTTGGTGGCTGCAGCTCGGGCGCGTACCCTTCGTCTGCAAGTAAAAATTAAAATTTGAACAAGGATAATTAACAGTGGCAATGAACTTACATCTTATTGTTGGGTGTTTTATTGGTGGACTTGTCCGGTTGGACGATGGCACGCGATTGTTGCACGTTAGTGCTAATGCTGCTGAAAACTTTCGATTTGACTTCCTTCAGGTTTCTGTTGTCGGCCGAAGGGCTCTTGGAGATCTTGTTCATGACGGCATCCCAACGACCGGCCGGTTTCTTTGGCATCGTCGTCGTAGCTTTCTTCGTATCCGCGTTCTCTTTATTATTCGGTTCAAGCATTGCCTTCACCTTGGAGGCGACGTTTCTCTTGGGCATCTTGTATTTCTTGAGGTCGCCCTTGGGTGAGCGGTTGCGCGCGCTCGCAGGACTGGATGCGACGGTGCTGCTCGGTGAGGGCGGCGTCACCGTCATCGTCTTGTCCTCTGATTTAGTTTCGCATTCGATGATCGTCTCGTTTATCGGCGTCTTATTCAGAATCAGATTAATATTGCCCTGGCTATCCTCGGAGATCGTTTTCGTTGAGGAATCGGAGGGCGACAGATTCTGAAGGAGGTCGTTGTCAGCGCTGCTGAGCTCCTCCGTTCGGGTTTCGATATCCGTGAATATTCCCGAAGAGTCCATATTCTCTTTATTGTTTGCGTAGATGTCAGCTGCTAATTGTGGGTCGACTCCATACAAAGTACCGTCGATCACCTGCGCCTTCCTATCCGTCCTGATTTGATTCTCCTCGTGGTTATCCGCATCGCTCTCCGTATAAAAATCTGAGTCAGTCATCGGATCCGGCCTTCGAGGCTGCCTCCTGGTAAGCGGTGACGTTTCCGCGCCTCGGCTTGCCGGTCTGGAGTTCTCACCATCGCCCTGGTAGCCGGTGTCCAAGCTCGTTATACTTGTGATGCTCGTTATGAAGCTGCTCGGCGGCTTCTTCTGCTGCTCGCATTTTCCGTTCTCGCTCTGCGTAGTTAACAGAGGTGGAGGTGCAGGCGGCTGCGGAGGTGTCGGATCCAGGGGCAGATCCTCCGGAGAAGGCGTCTGTTCGATGCGCGTCAGCGTTCTGTCATGCTGCAGATCCAGATTCATTGTTTTGTCTGTTTTAATGGTTAAAGCGGACAAAACATGCTCATCGATAATGCCCAGGCTAGATTCTATCTTCGGTGATAGGTCTTCCATTATTTGGAAGTTGGATAAGGCGTCGTGCGGTAGAAGTCTAATGTTCTCGGAGCTGGGAGTGCGCGAACTCACCAGCCCAGTGACGTCGATCATTTGGTCTGGCGTAAGAATCCCCAAAGATTCCTCAAACTCCAGCGAGTCCCGCTTGCTGCAATCGTCATCGAGGTGCGATGGCGACATACGTATCTTCCTCGGCGAAGACGTTGACTCCGTGTCCTTGAAGGCAACTGGTGTCGAGAACTTCATCTTGGCTGTGACGAAGTTGTGCGTGTAGTCGAGCACGGAGGGTCTCTTGTTCTGAACCACGGTCTCGTTCAGGTCCTTTCGACCCATCGTTTCGTCCATCTCAACAAAACTTTCATCTTCCCCGTCATCCCCGTCTTCGTTCACGTCGAACGTGTCAGATCGCAAATTTCTGATATTCGCAGTTGTATTTACGAACGTCTCGTTCTTATCATACGTACGATCCAGCTCAAGAGGCGAATCCTCTTCGTTTACCTCGAACGTGTCGGATCTGAGGAAAGGCTTCGCCGATTCACCTACACCGAAGATCATGCTGTACGGCCCCGAATAGTGATCCTGCTCCTCCTCCTGCTGCTGCTCCAATTCATCCGATAGCGACACCTTCGCCCGCATCGCCATCAGGCCGCAATCCTCGGGACACTCGAAATATCGTACTCCACGTACCGTTCCATTGTTCTTCCCCTTACCAGACTCCACCTCCACCCCGCACCAAACGCCAGGCGCGAAGTGCACGGTCCCCACGAACCTGAGGACTCCTTCGCGATCGTTCACCCTCACTTTCTTCCCCAGGTCGTGCTTGCTGAGCTCGTGCGACTGACTCTCCCTTGCCGCCACCTTCGTGCTGCCCCTATTGGCGACAGCGATGATCTCGTTTGGGATCACCTTAGCTGGAGGCGTCTCCTCGAAGATGCGGACGGTCTCGTTCGCAATCTGCGGAATACGCGACCCGAAGATCGGTATTCGAGTCAGACCCTTCCGCTGCAAAAGACAGAAACAAATTAAAATGACGTTTATACATAGGCAACCCACATCCCACGCAATCCAATAGAAACATACAACATACACAATAAGTTTATCAATTTCATTTAAAATACATATAGTGCACATATCTATTCAACCCATTTATTTAATACCTGAAATACCCGTATTGAATCAATCGTTATCAATCAACCGTATAATTCGTTGTTCAGAAAACTGTTGAGCTTTTTATATTTACCTATATACATTTGAACATATCGAAAGGTCAATTTCTTAAGATAGTGAGACTGGCAAAGAACTTTTACGACATGAAGAAAAAATGATCGTAAAACCAGCAATAAAATATAAACCGTAGTAAATAGAGAAGTCTGTATCAATAATTTAAGTGATAATAACTTATAATCTCGCTAATGTATATACAACAATTATTTCATAATGTTATTATAGGGGTCACTGTTAAACAATTTCGGCGAAAGTGTACATTTACATTTCATTCATTTTCATTATTTGCACTATTTATTAACAACAAATGTAGGACAGTGAAGTTCGATGATCTACATCGCTGAAGTTACACAAATTTTACAAGTATCTATAGATGTGCAATCTCTAGTTAATTATCCCACATAAACAGATGTCACTGTTAATTGCATTAGCGATAAATGTATACATATTCGTTTCATACGCTTCCCGTCTTTTAGTGTTAATTATAAATACGCAAAATGTTAATAGTTGAAACCCATGTAATGTACAAATAGTGATTAATGTTCCACAACTTAAAAAAAAATGAACAAAGAATAAAAATTAGATAGGTATTTTTCACTTTTACTTAAATTGGCAACGTTTTATTATAGAACACCTAGTACATTTATCAATCTATCGATCGCAACCCAAAATGACATTAAATTTATAATCTCGAAATGATAGCTATCACCATGTTTCAAAGGAAGGAACTTGTGAAAGACTAATAACAATTTGAAAACAGTAGTTGTACAAATACGTTTTCTAGCGCGGTAAAAAGGTTGAGAAACGTTGGTATTAAATAGATATTAACAATATATAAGACAAAAGGATATTCAATATCTAATAACTACAACAAATAAATAAAAAGTTTTAGATGCATTTCCTCATCAAATTTTGGAAAGATTTTAAACTACTTATGATAATGAATATTGATTAAACATTAAGAATATCGTTTATTGATTAGTTTATTTAAAAAATGAAAAAGTGATATCAATATAATATAGGAAAATCTTTGCAGTTTTCATTGAGTGATGTTGTGACCCTGGATGCAATGGAATTTAATTAATCGAATTGTCGATGTAACCGTTGAAACACGCTCCACATACCAGATTACGCATTTCCATTATTATTTCTTCAACGTACAATTAAAAAAAGTATATTTATGCGAAGAACGAATAAGAAAAGAACATCGTTAGTGGGTCAACAATTCCGATTGACAATAATCGGGTGGAAAAATCGGGCAGAAAACAAAATAAAATTCACGACGTCCTTGATCGACGTTCCATTCCATTCCAACCGCAGAGACAAGAGAGAGAAAGAGCAAATCGCGAGAGAGAGAGAGAGAACAACAGCAAATGTATGCGGATGAGATGTGCATTATTATGTTATTATAGTTATTGAGAGCCGAACCTTTCGAAAACGTTCCCATGCAGATCGATCACCGCTAAAAATAAGACAATCCATTGGATTTCATCTGACCGTTCCAGAGGAGAGGACTTTTCTTTCAACCGTACATCTTATTTAACACAGGCGATTTAAGTAATTGAGCACACACACTGTATTTAGTAATTAGCGAATCCGCCGCCTTCGCAGGCGGCTCCGGACGTACTGCAACTGTCGTTGCTGAGAACTCGAGAAGTAAGTAACAAAAAGTAAAGAAACGGAAGGATGGATGTGATGAACGAGGGGGGCCGTGAGCGTGACGGTTTTATTTCTGCAGGTAAGTTGGATGGTCGTATCGGGAGCAGTGGGTCGCGCCCGCACCGCAAGGATTGCATCGGAATCTAGGCGGCCCCGCCGCCTCTCGTTTGTTATTCCAGACTGGCGGCGTCTATCTGCAAGCGGCAGGAGCCTATGGAACACAGCGATGGTCTTTTATTTTGCGTGCCGATGTTGCTGAGGTCAACGACGAGGTGACAACGACAACCTTATGTAATTGGACGGTTGCGAAGGAAACCGAGAAAAGAAAATGAAAGAAAAAAAAAGGAGACAACGATTTCCTGCATTCATTTTGTGTCTTTGACCCATGATCATTTCAATGGAACGACACGAACTCTACTTTAATTACTATAGCGGAGACAAGTATTTAAATGAAAAGCTAATATGAAAACCAAAGCATTAAATTGAAGCAAATTACGTAAAAATACGTTAAAATTTGCATTTCGTGTTAACCCTAGCAAAATTCTATTGATTGAAACGGTAATCAGAACAGAAAACGAACAACTAAAATGCTCAATGAAAAAGCACGAGGATAATTGCAATTGAAAGAGATACACAAACTCGAGTTTTATTACAAAACCAGAGAGGAGTATGTATGAAAATCTATTAGACCAACTAAAGTAGAATCGATCGATGAAAACTTAACCTACTTTAGAAATATCACGAAATAGAAAATTGTCATTGAAGTACAGCAAATTTTGTGGAAATATATTAAAATGCATCACACACTATTTACCGAAAGTAAAATCAATGAAAACTTAACCAAATTAGAAAATGTCACAGAATCTATCAAATATTATTGACAGTGTTCAAATTATGTTGACTTTTACAACATAATTTTAACGCTGTAATTATTTTAAAGAAATGGATAAGAAAAATGAATATATGAAAATTTAGTAAAGAAAAAAATTCCTTGAACATTTCGATCGAATAATACAAGAACTCGAGCTTAATTAGTTCTTAGTTTCTCAAATATAAGTATTTCTATGGAAATGTAGTAGTCCAGTCAAAGTAAAATCGATCCACAAAAACTTAACCTACTTAGAAAATGTCACGAACTAGAAAATCGTCGTTAAATTATAGAAAATTTTGAGGAAATTCGTTCAAATCTATTAGACAGAAATGTTAATGATCCTGTTAATTTTAACTTAAATGTCAAGTTAGAAGAAGAAAACGGATAAAAAACGCAAATTGAAATTCCATTGAAAATCTAGCAGACCAATTAACTAAAATAAAATCAATTGAAAACAAATGAACCTACTGAACAATATTCTGTTGATTCAAACAGTAACCAGAAAAGAAAAGCGAACAGAAATAGGTTTAATTACTACAAGGAAGTCTCTCAAAGACAAAGTATTTAAATGAAAATATAATAGCTCAACTAGAAAAAAATGTATAGTAACCGTAGTTAAATAATAGCACATTTCGTGAAAATAGTTCTCTTATCTCCAATTTAGCAACGTTAATTCTGTTAATTCTAATAATATTCAGAAAAAAATAAAAAAATGCATATATAAAAGGAACAATTTAAAAAAGATTTTTCACAGAGAAGTATTTTTATAAAAACCTAATTGACAAACCAAAGAAAAAATCAATAAACGGCAACTTGACCCACTTAGAAAATGTCACATAATGGAAAATTGGCCTTAAATTACAGCAAATATAGAGAAAATACGTTCAAATATATAAATATTTTGTTGATTCAGACAAAAGCAAATAAAAGAAAAAACCCACTGTATAAATCCTTTCACATTTTTTGTATTCATATCACAACAAAATAATTTAACTCACTTCATATTACATCCGCAAACGATAGACTGACGAAGATCTTTCATGAATAATGTAAAATGTGTTAAATGAAGATGAAAAAATAACTAGAAGATATTCTTATGTCAATGTGGGAATTATCACGATTTTGTCAATGTGGGAATTATCAGAAATCTGTGTCTTAAATACTTTAGATCTTTTAAGTTATTATATCTTGAAAATTTATAGTATCGTATAGTTTATTGACAAAAAAAATGTTGACTTTTTGTAGAATGTTGTTATCAATACAAGTATTGCATGAAACTGAACGAATTAAAAACAGCGATTCAGAAAGAACGTCAAAAATTAGCTTATGTGTGATGGAACACGACAATGTTTAAGATAGACAGTGATGTGCTACCTCACCTTCTGATTTTCACTTATTCAGGTCTTTCTAAATTATCTTTAACGGCAAGAACTTTAACTCGTTAGTACACGTAAAAGTTTAGTCCATCTTGAAAAGTTTTTCGTGGAAAAACCTGACAAATTCTTGGAGGTTGTATAGTATTTAAGTTGCGTGAAAGATTAAGGATCGAAATTCATTTGAATTTTCGTGGAAAATCGACACTAACTTTCCAGAAAACATTAGAAAATGATTATTTATTTGATTATATTTGATAAAATCATAACGTAAATTATTGCATGCAAATATGAAATATTACATTTATCTGTTATTATATATACTCGCATAGTGCGGGTAAGCGATTCTTCAAATATTCCGGGCTGTTTGAAACCGGACTAATCGAGACTTATACAAAAATATCTTTTTATTTTTTTTCGTAAGTGATTTTTACAAACAGCAAATTTACGACAGAACATTGTTTTCCTTATTTTATGATTTCAATTGCATAAACATGAATCGACCAATCCACGTCAATTGAATTTTTTGCAATCTCAAAGCAGAATAAACGCCACAAATCAAACGTTTTCCAAAGTGAAAACAACCATCGCATCATTACAAATAACAACTTCAACAACAAAAAAATAGTCTAGACGCTTTCCAATCCATAAAAGGTTACTTGATTTTTCACTCTTTAAGTAAATTTATTAGAAAACGCACGGAAAATTTAGCAAAATCTATTTTTTTTCCAATTTCGTAACTCGACGGAGATACATACAAACATAAAAAAATACACCGAACACTCAGGTATTTACTTCGAAAAAAAATGCGATAAGTATTATCTTCACTTAAGTAAGTCGCAATCGGAATCTACTTAAGTCGCTTTCCACGTACA